AAAAAAATATTTATATTAGATTTTTTATAAAAGTTTATTTATATTTTCCCAATCTCAACAGTTTTAATATAGTATATATAGAATATTGACTTTATATAGAATATTATAAAGATTTCTATTATTTTTATATTTTAAAATATTATTTTATATATTTAAAAATTTTAATAGTATTATTATTACTTCTTAGCCTACAGTTAAAGAATAGAAAAATAACTAATCTAATATAAAAATAAACTATAAGAAACTTCTATAATGTTTAAAATAACTGTTAATATTAAAATTAATTATTAAGTAATTTATTTTTAATATTAGTTATATACAGTTCTGTAATATACTCTTTCTATTATATAACAGTATTTATTATTTTAAGACTATTTTTTACTACTACAACTATATTCTAACTGTACTATAACTGTATTATAACTGTATTATAACTGTATGATAACCAATAATCACTCTTTATAACTAAATACTACTATTATTAACAGTAGAAAAGGCTCTATACAGACCCCCTTGGCCTGCTATGTATACAGTGACAAACGCCGGAATCGAGATCGGAATGGTACTCACAGGAGAAAACAACTCCTGCGACTTTTCGGGTCAGCAATCCAACGCGATTATTTTGTGTAATGTACGTACAGTACAGTCCTTCCTTAGTCTACTACGTACAGTAACTACTAGATGAATAAGTGACCGCCGACAAGATCGGAGATAGTAGGCGAAGTTGGGTGTTCCCGAAACACTTTATTGAGTAGTTAGTTAGTTAGTTACGTAGTGAGGTATGAGTAAGGCATGAGTCAGGCATGAGTAAGACAGTTAAGTTAGTTACTTACCCAGCAAAGCCAAAGTCCGCACAGCAAGCCAGCCAGCAAGCACGTGAGTGAGTGCGTGAGGTTCAGCAAGAACTGGCCCGGGCATGTTTCCCCGGGATGCCCTCGGCGAAATCTGGCACGGAGTAACAGACACCAGATTCTACCGTGCCTGCGCTGGCTCAAGACTCTCTATCATACAAAACTCCAGAATACCTAAGTGTGAGACCCTCCTACCTACTAAGGTCTGGACGGGTACGAGAGACATCCGAAAAGTGCGTGCTTTTTCCAAGTCTTTCCTGCTGGTTATGTGTGTTTGGTCCGAGATCCGACCGGCGCTGATGGCGGCGATTGCGGCGGACTTAGATTCCTAAATTTGGGAGGGAGTACGAAGAGAAGACCGGTAGGTACTCCGGAGTACATACAGTCCACTAAAAGTCAAACTCGACTTGGAGAATAAAAGAGAGTTTTCTTTCGTTCTTGTGTGCTTGTGTGCTTGTAAGCTGTGGTGCTTTTAGTACATACAGTACACACATACTCTGGATAATGAGATTTGACGGTAGTTTCGCATACTCGAGCACTCTTCATAAAGGGGTTTGTTCAGCAGGGCTTAAGTTGGAAGCAATTAAATGGCTAGGTATCTATCTATCACAAGCAATTTCCGTTCATTCAAAGGACAAGGGAATCAGTTCCAAGTGGGCTGGCTGGCTGGCTTGCTAAAGGTACAACCTGGCAACAACTGCCAGCCATGGCAAGTGAAGGCGGGTCACTCCCGTCACTTGCCTGCCTGGTAAGGTCACCATCGAGTTAACCGCTCGGTCATTTTGTCCTCGGTTAGCTCTACCTGACTCGGCCATAACTGGAGTCGGCCACCAAAAGAACCTTTTGACTTGTTCCCCCCCCCTCCCCCCGGTCTTACCTGTTCTCGCTAGGATAGGCTTGTGCTAGGGGCATGGGTTCTCCAACATTCACTCGACAGATAGGCCAAAAGGAAAAAAAGAAATGTTTGCGCACGTCAAGCAGTCGGGGTTGTTTTTCTTTCTTTGTGAATTGATTTTTCTTTCCTATGCCGAGCTTGTATCATCTCTCCGGAGACTGTAGCAAGAGTTAACTAGTTAGTTCTCCCTACGATTCTAGGCTAAAACGTTGGGTAGAATCGGAGCCGGAGACAGACTCTAATCTCGGGGCCAAAATATCCACATGGATCTGACTGGCGCTTGCTTGATCTGCTCCTAACCAGCCTTACTGGATAGGTGTAGGGATGCAGCAGCTTCTTTTGCGTTGCGCTCATGCATCGTTGAATAATAGGCAGTGCCGCAGTCCTGTCAGTCTAGGCATTTGCGGAGGCTAGCCGGCTCCAACGAGGGAGATCACCATGCTGAATGGCCTGTTCGTCTGTCAGTGATCTCGTTCTCACTTCTTACTAAGGACTAATGCACAGTAAACTAGTCTCCTAGCCCAGACTAAGGGTAATCTATTTAGTCCTACCAGATGAGGTAAATGCAGGCTAGTTTGCACTCACGTCTACCGGCGTTAGTCAGTGCAAGTTTGAAACGAGGCTCCACCGGAGGGGAGTGGCAGTGATGGGAAGATGATAGGCGTAGTAACACTGTAGCCTGGTGGTAGTTAAGTTAGTGATGATGACGATTGAAGTTTGTGGTAGTGTCAATCGCCCGTGGCTTCTAGCAACGTTGGCTATACGGAGTACTGGGAATCGAAATTTTCCAATTCGAAAAAGACCGGAACCACAGGGTCATTCAAGTCAACCCAAATTAAACTGTAACAAGGCGCGGATAAGGCAGGCCGAGATCCGGTCGAGGGACGGACCCAACACTAAGCTATCATTGGAGTGGATACCGTGCGGAGATCGCCGACGATGAGGTGTTACGTTGATTTGTTTGTCCCCTCTGCTGCCGGTGGTGGGGTTGTCGGTTTTGTGAAGCCTGACGATCGCGACCGGAGTGGTAACGGACTCGACGAGAAGTCACGACATTGATCGCTGGAGGGTTATGGTTGATCTATAGAGACGGCTGGCTTCATCGACCGTCCATGGTTCCATCGGGACTCGGTGGTGGTGTTACCTGAAATGGGAACCGCGCAGCGGAAGTCCTCCGTCTGTCCCATGCGGCCATGTCGACTTCCGTGGTGTTTTGCGTAAAGGTGAAAAGGACGACGACGTGAGCATACTAGTCGGTAGGCTAAGTTAGACAAGCAAGTTTAAGAGGTGGCATCTGCACGACTGACTCTCAGCCCCATCTCATCCACTGGAACCCGGTTACAAGTACGGAGTAAGCCTCCGTGGGCGCGCCGTAACCCCATCCATCCCTTCCCCCGTCCCACAATCGCTGTGATGGCTGTACGTCCCCTCATGAGGCCCGGGCTGCCTTAATCACCAAGGGAGCTTCGAAGAGCGGATAGCAAGGAAGGGTAGGGAAATTTGACAGCCCGGAATCTTCCCCCCTCGAAGTGAGAATATCTCAGCTGCCTCTGTGCTCAAGCGCGGCCCAAGAATTGGATCCGGTGAGGGGGCAGGCAGCACCGGCTGAGACTAGCAGCGAAAGAGAATGCACCAACGGACCCGACAGTCTGGTCGAGGTGTGATAGTAAGGCATTAGTAGGCAGCCTTGAGCAATTTCCGTCCAGTTGAGGGGTTTCTGCTTTCTGGGTAGGGTGGATAGACAAGGATCCTTGCAAGTGAGGCAATTGGCTTCCTAGCGAGTGCGGAAATGTGGCAAGATTGCGGTAGAGGCCCGTCAATCCTTGGAGCAGCACAGTGGGAGGAGGTGTATCACCAACGTACGATGAAGCTCAAGGTGATGAGAAAGAAGCACTGACTCAGCCGATTGGAAGTGGTTAGTGAGCTAGGCAGTTCTTCAGTCTGTTTTAAGGTACGGAAGTAAGCTTACTTGGATGCGTGCCTTCCCGTAGCCCCCTTCTTTCACCTTCTCCTCCCCTCCCCTCCCCTCCCATCCCCGTGAAGGGTTGTGTTAGGGGGGGGAGGGGGAGGGGGGGGGGGGGGGGGAACAGGGAAAGTGGACAGGGGAAATGATGGATGGGGATTCGGGGGGGGAATTGGTCGGGTAAAGGTGGGTGTTGTGGAGGGCACTAGAGAAGGTCCGGACTACTGCTAATGGGAAGAAATGGCCGCGTCTTAGTCCTAGTCTTCTTCGAGTACATATTTCAATATTGATCGATCTGGACTTGCTTGTCGATCGAACGGCCGTCAGTCTTGGTGGTGGGTATTGACAATACCCTGTTATAGCGTAATACAGGTTACAAATGTTTACATTGACACAATGTTACAGAACTGACATGACCACTCCTCTTTTGGATGGCATGCATTGGCGACGGGGTGCCAATCGGCCACCGCCATTTTTCCATCCATGTGTCCTCTCGTTCGCTTGCTCTTCGTTTCTGATTGAACCAGAGGTTCCTGTCGACGTAAAAGTTAACGCACATGATCCGCCTAAGCAAAAAGGATGTCATCCGAGGTCAGATTGATGGCTTAACTCATGACTCAAGGGTAGCAGGGCCTTAGCTGACCCAATAGAGTCCATGGCCAAAATTTAACGGAAAAAAAACGCCTTGTTAGATTCGCGATGTCGGCTTACGTATCACGCTACCGGTCGATTACAACATGGTCTCGAATCAGGATTGCTGAGCTACACGTTAAGCGCCGAGCTTTGTGGAGGTTAGTTCGATTTTTCCAGCTCCGCCCAAGACCTCAACTCATGCACAGCAACTGTGCCGCACGTCATATCGGGAAGGCAGGCAGACAGGCAGGCGAGACGTTAATCTATTGATTTGGCTGTGGAGCCGATGCGATGCACAAAAGGGCCGACTCACCCGACCACTGGAGTCACAATGATACGTACAAGCCTCTGCCAATGCCTGTAAATTCCCCTAGAAATCAAAAGTTCCGGGTCGATTGAAGCAGTAAAGAGAGAACTAGAACTTATTTGCTCTAAGGTGGCGTCTGAAACAGAAATCCGTGCTTGCCCGTTCAAGTAAACACGCAATAGATGGGTTAGCTCAAATGAGGTGTTTGAGCAGCCTTGCTAACTTACTCAAGCCACTGTGAGGTCCGGACTGTCACTAATTGCGGCGGCGGAATAAAAGACTCGGTCTGAGGCGACTCGACCCACGTGCTAAGCGGCGCAGAGGCAATAGAAGCCGATCTCGAAAGCGAGACGCAGTACTAGTTCTGAGGATAGATCGGAGGAGTGCCATCAGCGGATAGTAGAACAGGAAAGGTCGGTGTTGTGGTCTGCGTTCTTTTCTTAGCTATCCACTCTCGCCCCCGAATCGAAAGATTGGCGCATCATTCGGGGGTTTGCACTTAGACGACTAGACTAACGAGCAATTGTCACTGACATTGTCTCTAAACTCATCTTGTTGAATGACTCTTAGACATTCTGTCAAGCTAAGTATCTGGTTATTTAAAGTTCCTCGATCTTTCGAACTTCCACCACTTAGCAAGCTGCGACAAGTGCAGTCGAACGGCAAAGGAGAATATCATTCGTCCGTAATCGACGATCCAGTGATCATTGGTAGAGCAGGCTGGTGATCCACTGTCACGTATTAGACTCTGCTTTCTTCTAAAAAAGACATCTCAACGAAAACTCCATACTCTGATGCAATCAATATAGGCAAGAATGGCGGATAAATGAAGATTCCACTCACTCCCAGGGAGTTCGGTAGTCTCTTGTTCTCCTGTCCGGCGCATGGTCCACCGGAGCCGAGTACTAACGCGGGAACCTGTCCTGGGTATGGTCCCATGGTTCAGATCAGCCCGAAGCGCACGTCGGTATAAGGTGGCGTTATCTGACTAGAACTATGGGCCACGGATCCTGAAGATCAAACGTGGTGAACGTGGCCCAGCAAAAAAACTAAAACGAAAAAAAAACAAAAGAAATAATCGGAAAACCATGGGGGATAAATCGACCTGGTGCCTTTTCTCCCGTTGCCGTAGCGCTGGACCAACAAAGGATTCATCACCCTGTTCGTAGCTGGGTTTGAAATGTGTGAAGGATGTTAGAAATTTCGAGGGACTTAGTGTGATAGTGCCAAGAGCTTCTAGCGTTACTGCCCTTCCATGAGCTAGAAACCTATTCGCAGCGTGTTAATCAATAACCCGATTGGGGAATGACAGGAATATGCCAGATACCTGAGAGGAAGAGAAAGGAAGCAGGTCAACTGGCGACTGTGAGGTGTATGATGGAAGGATCGACATGTGCCAACTGGAGGTATTGAGCCCTGTCCCAGGCTGGCCAGTGACGACAAGTGCGACTGCTTGATCGGGTGGATTAAGGACTGCGAGCTTTGACCACATGACCACAGTCTGCAGTGCGTGTCTCTTACACATAGTCATACTTGATGATATAAGTGAATTTAGTTACATTAGGCAGTCAGACACTGTACCTCAGGTGCCAAAGAATGCCTGGAAGTATCCTGGTCTCAACCAAGTAGTTATTCCGTTTTGGCTTGGGCTAGCTGAAATACTGGGGATCGAGACTTGGAATCCTATGACTGATTCTCATGGCCTATTTGTATTGGGGTGACGGCGAAAGATGATGATCCCCTTTGATAGGTATATCAGTTCGGAGAGTCGGAGGATGTACAAGTACACCTGAATATGCCCATACCCTTACGGAGAGGTCTTGCAAATACAGTATGCAGTCTTCAGCATCACTATTGACTGAGAGTTGACATATCACTCAACGCGTTTGTGCAAAGTTGAGGCATCATGATCATGGGGAAATGGTATCGACGTCGATCATTGACGATTGGGATCGAGCCGTAAATTGATCTGGCGCACACTCTTCCCATTTCCAGCCCGAGAAGCTCTGATGTATCCACTGTCTTTTAGAGCCCACCCTTACCGAAAGGAATATCCTGCATGGCTTCGAGAATCTGGTGCAACCGAGATTGACCGAATACCATCGGGGCGTTGCTATCTGAGCTTGAAACTCTTGCTTGAACCTGTCCAATAATTGTATCTATTTATCTGGCTCTGCTTTTGGCTGAGAGGGTGTGCTGCGCACAGGAGATCGTGGTGGAAGTCGTTCTTGCAGATGCAGAAAAATGTTGCTCATTTGACCGTTGCATCGCTCAACAAATCATGTCATCCAGTGTGAGCCTCCCCTAACTCAAGACTTATCGGACAAGAGAGCGTCCGTCTTATGGTAGAAAGGAGGGAGGCGGCAATATCCTTGGGCGTAAGAAACCGAGCTTGTCCTTCAAGCCTCACCATCTCTGGTTGAAGTTGATGGATACCAAGGGTTCATGATAATCTTACACAAGGTTCTTCTACTTCTGCAAACGATTCCCTTGGGTCGAACTGTCTCTCTCTTTTTTTTTCTTTTCTTTTCGCTCATGCTGTTGCTCTACAGATCTGTCCTGCTGTAGCTTCCCGGCGTTCGATAAGTGCGGACGGTGGCTGAAGCCACCACGAACAAGGTCAAAACCAACATTCCTGGAATGAAAAGAAGGAGAAAGAGAAGAAAAGGTGAATCTCCGTCGAAGGGGCTACGGAGCATCCCTACCGCGGTAGACGTACGGCAGGCAGGCAAAACTCGGTTTCGATTCCCAGATGTCGCACCACCGCAATGTGATGATATCACAGTCTCCTTCATGAGATTGTTCCGTCCAGTCAAGGCCAGGGCGAGGAAAAATCGACAGCTGGGCCTTCCAAACAGATTTGACTCCGACTCCAGACTGCAGCACTGCTAGCCAAGTAAGGGTAAATCTAAACGGCCCTGAAGGGTCATCGTGCCTTGGGTGATCGGAGCACACTGTAGTTCGCTTGCAGGTCGGCTAGTATCGTTATTTTGCGGACACACGTTTCAGTTTCAAAGACAGACTTCCACAAGTCGGCTGTAGTACGGAATACGGCGGGACTCCACCATGGCCTACTCCGTAGTTGATCCGTAAGTAGTGGATTAAATAGTGCATTGTAGCGTGGGACTAAGTGGTCTCAGGAGGATCCATCGGCACCGCGGCAATGCCTTCAACTTCCGCGCCAGACCGTGTCAATTGACACAGAGCCGCAAACGTTGCGCATTCTAGGTCGTTCCCAGGTAATAGCACTATCAAACCTGCTAGCATCGGATGTGTAGCTAAGGTTGAGTCAGCAGAAATTCCCTTTCAGATCGCTTGTGTTAGTGTGTCACCGATGCTACAGTGATTATAATACCAGACCGTTTGTAACCTGCACCAGACAAAGAACAAAAAAAAAGAAAAGAAAAGAAAAACAACGCCATATCTGCTAGTTGTCACAGGGACAAAGTCTCGAGTGCTGTACAATACTTGACTACGAGTCAGGACCCTGTCCTCCATATCTCTATTCGCCGGAAAGCCAGCCCCTGGCGAAGCATTTTCTTTGTTCTCATCCTGGTTCAGTGGCACTGGAATGAAGGTACCCACCACCAGACAACGCAACGCTGCTCTCGGCCGCGGGGCTTCCATGTCCATCAAATTGTCCAAGTGCGCCTTCTCTTCAAACAAGCTGTTCTCATAGGCTTAGGTCCTCATAATCCTTGACAGTAGAGACTCACGTGATTGAACACATCTGCGGGTACGCGTGTGACGAGACGGCGAGGGGAGAACTAAGGCAGACAAGGAAAGGTTTTCGGCCCTGGAGCTTTGGAAGAAGATTTGGTGTAGAGGAAGCAAATAAGGCAGCAATGCTTGTCTTGCTTCTTGTGCCCTTGTATGAAGTCTGTATGGTACTGTACATTCATACCACGCCCACTTTGCCGACTCAACTCTGCCGAACTTCAAAAGAGATCTACAACAGGCACAAGCAAGTGGACGATCATCCGCCGATTCAAGTCGCTGGCTGTGGAATGGCGGGGAGGAAGGAGAGAGGAAGGCTGGTCGGTATCTCCGCGGAGGCACTGGCGTATGTCTGGTCTAGACACGGGCGCAACATTGGATTAATTCTATGTAGCAATGCAGGTAGAAGGTATGCAGTATACGTGCTTCAAGTCTGCTGTGAGTATAGTCCAGTAATACCGGCGGCAGAGCAGGCCATGAACCGACTGCTTTGAGCCAAAGTCATAATTGATAGCATGGAGTGCCAGACTCCGATTGCACAGGCGCCTAAAAAAATTCTCCACACACAGAGACGCAATTATGCGCTCTGGAAGGGGGGAGTGGAGGGGGATAATGAGGCTTTGAAAGCTTGCGCAAGTTGACTGTGCCGCAGACATGGTTTTTATTGAGCAACCAATCTCAGCTCCTACACCGAGCTCTGTTACTTGCATGGTATGTCACCGTCGTCATGTTCGCGTCAGTGACACTGCGCGGTACGTAGGATGAGAGGAAACGAAGATGACTTTGCAAGACATATCGTAGCTTTTTAGGGATGGTATGCCGGCAGTCTCCCCACTTGGTGAGCTTTTCGGCTCCGGAGATCACAGCGACAAGTTTTTTTTTTTCCCCTAATGATATTTCGCTTACGAATTTGAAGTAAGCACGCAGTACTCCGTACTCCGTACTGGGATGCATGGAAACGAAATCGAGAACATATGATGGATGCTGCCGAGATGAGAATAGACAGATGAATAGAGAGAAGAAGATGAAGGGGGGAGCGAAGGTTGCAGCGGCCTGGATTAACAAAGGACCTCAATCCAGGTTGCAGCAGTCGTCGGCAGGCACCACGAAATCAAGACCTGAGCCTGAGAGTGAGGGGACTCGGAAGGAGCTGCAAAGGAAGGAAGAAGACCGCCCGTGACAAAATGGGTACTAACTAATTGATTACCACTTGGCACTAACTACTGCCACTGCCGCTGCCGCTCGCCGCTCGTCGGCCGCCCCTCCCTTCCTTCAAGTCAAGAGTTTAAGTCTTCAACCTATGGTATGAGTAACTATGACTGTCTGTAACTACTAACTCATACAAACTACTTAAGTATGTGCTAGCAGTTAGGTACTAGGTACCTACTTAGTGGTTACTGAAGACTCTTCCGTAAGCTCTTCCGTTCCCCTCTTTCCTCCCCGTGTCCCGGCCCCAACCCAACCGATAATCCACACGCGGAGGTACCGCTCTGGCCGTCCAGAACACCTTCCATCTTGACCCTTGATTCGTTGGCTCGTCTAAAAAAGAACCCGAAGTTGATCGGTGCCACAGCCGACTTGTGGGGATTCTTTCCTGTAGAATCATTTAGGTAGTCAATCTGCAATCTGTAACTTGTTAATCTGTTAATCTGTATCTATCTCCGGGGCCAAGTAAGCATCTTGCATCTTCCTTCCATTGTTGAGAACAAACAAATTTCTCTGTCGTATCAGGTATCAGGTATCAGGTAGGTATCAGGTACAATACAGGGCACCTCACCGATATATGGCTGGGGAGAAGAAAGAGACTTCGTGCTTCCGCAAACTTAATTTGTCTTGTTGATTTTTCCTTTCTCTTCTTTTCTTCATTTCTTCTTCATTTGAGAGGTCTAACACTCTGTAGGTCCACCTACTTCCCATTGGTCTCTTTACGCCTGCACAGCATTCGGAATTAGATTCGCCGTCTCGGGATCTAAGAGGGTGAATCTGCTCTGCCAAAAACTTGGACCTCAGGCGATAACCACCAACCATTTCCTGACTGTTTACCTAGACAGGCTTAGTAGCAGTGTTGGGTCTTACCTCCCTCCCTCTAGATGAATGGAAATGTTGCTTTTGCCAATCATTGTACTCATAGGCTTGACAGGCAGCACTAGTAGCTTTGCTGAAGAAGGTTGACAAATCACTCCAGATTTCTCCTCATGCAGTCGGTCTTGGCATTCCTATAATAAGATCCACTATAACCTCTTGTCGATTGTCATGAGCTTTGGCTGGGTCTCAGTAGGCTCGTCAGGAGCCCTTTGCGAACCGTCAGTCAGATCATTACTTTCTGCTCAATCAGTCCTGTACATGATGGAAGAGGAATTTTGTATATCAGTATTTGTGGTTGTGTGTGAGGGGATGGGGGAGGAGGGGGGTGGTTCCCCTTGTGTAGTTTGCCGCTCGTTATCATGCATATCAGCTTCAGACCTGGAACACGTGAAAAACCGGCCATATTCCCTGCTTCACCCTCCTCCCTCACCCCTCTCAATTATTGCGGAGGGTAGTGGGACATGAGCTCATCCCGTTCCATGACGACTGTGAGGGGAGAAAAAAGAAAGTGATCGGCTCACCTCTGCAGAGATGTGTTGGCAGCAGGCTCTGCAGATTGGTATCTACACCGTAGTACAGAGTACCTGACTGTGCAGGGTACAGCCTAGTGCTTAGGACTAACTTACTACCTAGTACTCGTAGTAGTACATGCAGTAAACCTGTTGGATAATGGGGAATTCAGAAAGATCGAGTCGAGTCGAGTCGAGTAGTGTAGTCAAGTAACATGGCCTGGGGTGGCATACATGGTTGTTCCCCTTTTCTGTACTCTGCATCGATGGATATGGCAGTGTGGACCATAATCTCGCAATCGATAGGGCAATAGATACTAGAAGCTGTACGGTGTGATGATGTACTGCATTGCTGTGTGGGCTTGAAGGGAGGGAAGGAGGGAAGGAGGGAGGCGGGGGGAAGGGAAAGAAGGTCCCACCCACATCGTGTCTACCGCTTGGTTGTCAGGTTGGCTGTCCTTCAGCAGCGGCCCTGCGCAATCTGAGACCATAAGAGCTAGGCAAATATAGAGCTTCTATATTATTCGTAGGCTGGACCCGACAGACTGGTACACTAGCAAAGCCACTGCAGGTTGGGTTGCTGATTCCATTCCGCGCCCAATAGACGCGGGCTATGCGCGCCCTTTTGTTGGCTGGTCGCTTCCAACCATTGCTGTTTCTGTGTCTGGTGGTCTTGCGTCTTTTTTTTTCCTTCCCTCTCTTCTCTTTTCTTGCAACGATTTCGCAAGCCCGAGTCCTCCCCCTCCCCCCTCTCTCTCTCCAATTTATTTTATTTTCAGCAAGCATCGATTCGCCCTCTACTGTATTGAGATAATGCTGCAGTTGATCATTTTTTCGGTTTCCGACCCTTTACCTTTTTCTGTGTTTATTTCTTTTCTTGTTATCTGTTTAATATAGTTGATTGGAGAATCATACCGCTTCGGCTGCCTTTTATTCCTGTTTTGCCCTATAACTTTCGGAGCACGGGTAAAGGGCAGTTCTGCATGCTACTTCAGAGGATTCACCTTGCTTTTCCAGACCATCTCCCCTCCCCACCGACAGTTGACATACTGTAAGGCCTCCTTTGTATTCCTGATTTTTCTTTTCTTCCTCTCCCTTTCTACGACTAGCTGTCGGATTATTTCCTGCCACCGAACGTGTTCCCGGTGCACTACTACTAACCGAGCCAGTCTCTTTCCCAGTTGGAAGAAATGTATTTCTTCATTCACTCTCGTTTGCTCCTAGATGGGTCGAGACCCGGTGGAAACCCCAGAGATGACGGATTTAATTTAGAGTAGATGTCGGGGACTTCGGGACGAACATTGAACTGATTGAATTCCCAGACTAGTTAGCAATTCACGGCTCCACCGCTTGCAATCTACTTTACAGGAGCAGCAGATGAAGATGAATCCACCCCGCCCCCCCAGTGCCACACTGCACCGGAGGAGGAGCAAACGAGCCGGCCATCCAAGCAGGTCCGGTGTCGTCTGATGTTCTTCTAGTCTTGTTGATTTGATTTTTGTTTTTTTTCCCTTTTGGCCTTCCTTCCTCTTTCGCCCGTGGCTGACTTTTGAACCTTGCAATGCTTCGTTTCGGTCCACCCGTCTTGCAGCCATGGAACGGACCTATCAGCTCCGTATTTGCCTTGAATTTTCCCCTGCAATGGCAGGGCTGCAGGGTAGGCGGGCGGGCGTAATTTTACCGCGTCATCGTCATCAACTGGTTAAGTTCTTGGACCTAATTTCATGTTGATTTTACATTCATCAGGTTATACATGAGTTACATGAGTTACATGAGCCCTCGAGCAAATCTTCCCCCCCGCCCCTTTCTTGTCTACATTTTTGACTGTATGATGCTGGTTGAGAGACACTAAGGCGACTTGTATGGACTTAATACGTCCGCGTCCTTTTTCCTGTACAGGAGGAATGCTGGTGGGGAACCAAATACGAGCCCTTGCTGCCGTAATGAACAATACGACAAGCATGACACATTCTTCATGGTCGGATCTCTGACGGAGGAAGACAGATGGAAGAGAGAGGAAGGGAAGGCTTTGAATTCCTATCTCAACACGAACATATTGACTGACTTGGCCTTCCGAGTCGATAGCTCAGGAAAACTTCTCCATGAGCATCGGATGTTACGTTGTTTCACGGAAGAGCAAAGAAGTCGGTATGTCAATTACAATCAGACATAGCTCACTATGTCTACGGAATCTCATTATGATCGCTTGCTATGTTAACCGTTGGGATCGTGCAAGTATACCTCAGTTTGACTAGTTACTCATCAGTCGCATCGAGTATTTGTCATGACCCCAATAGGCCGATCGATCTGTGCCCCCAGCCAGCAGGCGAGCTGCATGCGACAAGCCAGGTAGGTAGGCGAGAAAACCGTACGGTCCCCTGAATTAGAACTTTCGAAGGACATCCTTCATGACTGCATGGCCTCGCGCGCGAGAGGGAGAGTCCGTGCAAGGACGAGGGTAGATCCGTCCGTTCCTTAGTCTTTTCTTTTCTTTTCTTTTCTTTTGATTGTCTGATTCTATCCTCTGTTCCCCCGCTGCGCATGCAGATGGGGTCAACCAACCCTCAAGCTCCAGCCTGGATGTTTTGGGGGTGATCCTGGGAGTCATCCGGCATTCCGTCAACCCTGGATGATGAGCATCGAGACGACCGTGCGAGTTCGGAAACTGATTGATTGATTCCTGGACCCGCGGAGCTTAGTCCATCATCGGAACACGGGTCCAACTGATCACTCCATCGCACTATGAACCATCATTGATTGATTCGTTTGTCGCGGCACTGACTTAAGAAATCTAATCTCCTGCGTCAATATTCCCTCCAACCGAAGTCACCGTCGGTCTTTTGCTTCAGTCAAAGCTCCTTCTTGCGGCTCCTTTAATGCTGTCGGGGAAAGGGGGTCACATCTTTGATTCTCGATATGATGGAGCAGGGTGCATGAACTAACACTAGGTTGGCTTGCTTCCATTCAATGTCAGTGGATCCGTCGTCTCGGAGGGGGTGGGTAACAATAGATTCGATCGAATGGAATTCAAGATAAATAAACATATCCATTGGTTTTCCTTTCTACTATCAGCCCAGGTATTTCCCCCTCCATCCATCCCTCGCTCGAAGAATAGTCATTTTAAAACAGAAAACGAAATAAAAAAAAATGGAAAACTCTTAAAATACAGTAGCCGCAATGTAATTACCCGGTCCAACGGGGACTAGTCCATGTAAGTCAATACACGAATACTGATTTGTTCCAGCATGAACTGCACGTCTGTCCTGCTTGCCTGCCAACGTGATCCTTGGATGATCTCCACTCCCCGAACTGTTCCATCCGTCCATGACATCCACATCAGCAAGATTATTGTTAATATTAATATTGTTATTATTGTTATTATCAGTATTACACTTCTTACCGTTTAGAACTTGCGGAGGCTTCATTTGTCGTGGAGAAAAGTGGCAAATCCTTCAAAATGACTGAATGAACATTTCTAGACAACATCCTTGCATATAAGAAACAAGCTCTACGCTTGGGGAATTGTTTTTTTTTTCTGTCTTGTCTTTTTTTCCTTTCTTTTAATTTCTCTTTTCCTATTTTTTTGGGGGGGACAAAGGAATGATTTTGTCCTCTTTCAATCATAATTTCTCTGTTTTCAAGGGCATTATCTCCGCCGACTTGATAAGTTTATTCTTTTCAAATCCATCTGGGGGCGAGTTCTGTACAGTATATAACTCTTAAAGAGGGCCTCCCCGCGGAGGTGAAGTACTAGAAGTGGAAGGTACGAAAAGAGAAAAGCATCAACATCACCAGACAACCATCTCTACTAAGTACTACTGATACTACCACCATCACCATCACCACCACCATCACCACAATAATCATCACCCCAAGGCTCTTTTCGCCTCTTGCATTTGCCTCGCCTCGACCCCTCTCGTCCCCGTTACCAAACGACGCACCACCCTCCCACCTACCCACCCATTACCACCACGCTACCACCCACCCCTGCTCCTGCTGCTGCTGCTGGCGCTACGCATCACTCCGGTCAACCTCATTTACCCGCCATTGAAGCGACATACAACCCCCCCTCCCCCACGACGACACCGGGGGCGCAGTCACCGTCGGCCTTTATCACAGGCCAGTCCGTCCCAGGGCTCTGGTACCGCTGCATGGGTCAGCACAACTAAACACCACTAACCGGGACCCTTGGTCGCCATTGCCCTCAACCGGAAATCCAACCGGAAGTCTCGTGCGGCGTTGGTAATGCTTTAAGGAGGAAGGCTGGCCCGAAGGATTTCCATCTTGCACAGCTCCTCTTTTTACTTTGACATTTCTTCTTTCTGTCTTCCCACGTCATTGATCCGCCTAGAGCCCAGGCACTCTACTTCGCTCCCCGTGGAGAGGAAAAAGGAACTACCTTTGGCCTTTATTGCGGAAACTAAACCCCTACTATCTATCACATTTGGGTGGCTTCGATCTTCCGTGCTCCAATCTCATTTCGATCATTCTTATTCTTCTCTCTCCTCTTTTCTTCGTTTGGTTCCCCGTCTCTCGAGTCTTCTTGACTGCACTGGTTTCTCTACTATTTGAGATATCATCTTACCTGCTGATATTTAAGCCGAGTCCCTGGTGGTTCCTTCCTCATTATTGTTGCTACCCCGTCTTTTTCCTACACAAAAGGTGCGAGTTCAATCTGAGCTTGCATCTGCTTCCTTGCTTGCTTTCTTATCAGTGGTGCCCGGTACTTTCCCCACTGTGGCTCGCCTTGATCCATCATAGTATTCTACGCTGAATCTTGTGTACTTGTGCAAGACAACCATCTTCGAGGAGATTCGTCACAAACGCCAACGAAGTCGAAAATGCAGGCCATTCACGAGCAGCACCGGGCGAGCTACTTGCCTGCCTCGTCTCGTCAGAGCCGCATGGCCATTGATTCCCTATTGAATCCATCCGCAGAAAGCGAAACTACCAGTACTCGGTCACAATATAGCCAGCACGGCTCGCCCTTATACCCGCCCAGTCCGAATCAGTATTTCTATACTTCCTACTCAGAGAGCCACCATCCTTATCAGGAGGACTCGCAAGACCAGGGATACCTGCCCTACCGGACACGATCGGTGGAATCCTCCCCGGATCCTTACTCTCGTGATCGATACGATTCGGTATCTAGCAGCTCCAGCAATGCTGCGGAGCGACGGCGGCCTCCCCGACCCAAATACGAAGAAGAAGAGATGTATTTCATCTGGTACCACCGTGTGGACCTCGGCCAAGAATGGAAGGAGGTCCGTGAAAGCTTCAACAGGCAGTTCCCCGATCGGCAGCGACGAGGGTTCCAAGGAATTCAATGCAAATTTTACCGCTTCATCAAAGAGAAGAAGTGTCCCACATTACGGGAGCAGCGCCGCATGCGTGACGGCGACTTTCTGCGGGAGGGGGCGGGAGTTGCCGACTCGGGGGCTCCGAAATTTGGAGTTATTGAGTGGGTAGGGACCTGGTATCCATGGATGCGCGAGGACAAAGAAACGGTGCGCAGACGACGAATTGCGAGGTAGATAATCCTGTTTTCGGATAGCTTCATCAGCATCCGCCTGGTGGTCGAGTCATTTCTTTGCCTCCTGCGCTCATCAGCGCGTGTTATCTCTCTCCCCCCCCCTCTCTTCTTACCTACTCCTAGTCCACCGCTACCTAACACATCTTTGTTTCACGGCCGACCCCGAAGATACCTCTACGTTATTATTATATTTTTCTTTCGTCTGTCTTATTTTCTTGATTCTCTTTGTCTTTTCTTACGCTCGTTATTTGCCACTTGAAGGTCACCTTTAGCATGTCTTGATTTTTGCCTGGGAGGATGTCTGCTTTCTTGTCGTTATGAGCATGCATAAAACGCACTGGGCTTGTGGGAGGAACTCGTCGATTTACACTTGTTTGCTGCTTTCTCATATGCGGAGGCATACCACCTGTTTACCTCCCTCTCTGTCTCGCCAGACCTACCAAATACCATTTAGATGGACCTACCATTCTTGTCTAGATGGCGAATGTCTCGTTCAACCTATCCGTGAGGATTTATCTGAAGTGGAAGAATTCCACCATGATACCCTTGTGGGTACCAATTTAACTCTTTTCGTGCCTATGTCGCCGACTACATCGCACCATAAGTTACCTCCGAAATCCGAGATCGTCCGTTGACAGGGAGGTACGGAGAGTACCGTTGTGTATAGTACGGGTACTATACGTGTCAGGCTGGTAACAACGGGTACTCAGGTAAAGCAATACCTCAGGTAAAGCAATACAAGAAGACTTGTTACCGAATTAGTCATGCACAAGACGGTGTGTGTGTGCAGTGGAAAGGTCTTTTGAAAGATGATCTGATATGATGTATAACAATGATACGTTGGCTTCGGCTGAAGCATGACAAATAACTCACCTCGCTTACATTCCCAGAGTACTCCGACCATCCCAACAGGGGAAAAGGACTATCTACCACGTACTTCACCTGGGTTCCAACTCTAGTATACTCCAGTAGACCTATCCCTCTAAGTTACCTCCTGACCATGTATGATAATCTACAGCTGCACTGGAGGCTCAGAGGAACAATACAAGAGGAAGCCCGCTGATTCCAAAGGGAACCACCTAGCTAGCTAAGCCAAGCTACACAGGTTATCCATAATTGAGTGCAAGACAATAAGGACTCGAAGCCAAAGCATAATTGCATATTGCAACTTGCGTGGTGTGTTGTGAGCGTTGTACCGTACAGTACATTGTACATTCTACACTATATCAATAATTTATAATGTACCTCCATAATAGGCTCAATCGCAAATCGTCAGCATGATATCAGTTCAGGCCTTGCTTTGCATGTTATGCATGCTCACTAACTACTCAGCACTTGCTTATTATTATGTTCAATTCACTGCACAGCCCCCCCCCCCCCCCCCCTTTCTCGCTAGACTGGGACCTGACGCAGTAGCCAAAGGAAGAGTAGGTGCGGAAAGGAAGGGAAAAGAAAAGAGAATGTCTAGAAACTTCATAGGGACTTTTTTATTGATTGGGGGGAAGCGAGAGGGATCTGTCGGGATTTGAGGTGGTTTGGCGGTTTGGCGGTTTGTAGTAGGAGGCCATGCTGATCGAGGTCCTTTATTTTCTGGATTGGATTACAAGATTGAAATCGACAATATCCCCGCGGGAATGATCGGTGATGTTCGCTTCGCTACGGTTGGGCATGGGGAATAGAAAGATCATCGGGAGTTGGTTGCTGGAGGCATGAATGCGATATGGTTGTTGTGGATGGTGGTGATGATGATGATGATGATGACGATGATGACGATGATGACGATGACTCAATCATATTGAGTATCAAGAGCCGTTTTACATAAGATGAACCTCTTACAGTGGACGAACGAGTGGGCGTAGGTAGTATACCATACATAGGTTACAGCGGTGTCTGTGGATCTCGGGCGAATGAGTTGATAGAGACTAGCCGATGGAGTTCTGACTACGGCCCCATAGATAATCGATACCTGGGATGGAAGACGAAAAAGTAAAAAAGAAAGAGGCAGGGAAAGAAAAAAAAAGGCAGAAGCATAAGGAAAGGAACAACAGGCCAAGGAACTCTCGATTGAAACAAAGACCTCTTGCCGACCACAAGGCGATCGTGCATGGATCCTCACGCTCAGGAAAGAATAGGATTGGGATGGAGCAACGATGATGAGATTGTGCATGTGCAAGTATCATGGGATGATTCGGGTGTAGTAAGCGGGTAAGCTATCCATCCTTCGCTTGTTGTTATGATGGAGAATACTATTGTTGAGGGGTGAACAGAGAAGGATCCGATGAGAAAAGGAATGGATGGATGGATGGATGGAAGGGTTGGGGATTGTCGTCCAAGTTACCCCGCATCATCTTCTTGGGGGCCCATTCGTTCTGTCAATCGTTCAATCATTCAAATCATTCAATCATTCAAATTCACTCAGTCAATCAACCATTTCCATTCCATTCGGTCTGCATCAAATCCAATCTATTTGGTTGTCTTGTCTGTCTTTCCCTTCGCTTCCTTTCGAGACACGATCATCGGCCAATACGATATTCAATCTAATTCGGGTAACTGATAGCTGGCTGTTCATGGGATGAATAGTTTTGCTGCACAATCTCCAGCATCTTGTCTGTTTCCTCTTCGGGACGCATCGCAGGGCTGACTGGATGAGACTGGCTGGCTGGCTGGCTGGCTGGCTGATTTGCAAGTAAACGAATAGATGCTAGCACCGGAACAAAGCCTGCAGATTGTTGCTATCGTGATCTGTCTTTCCTTTTTTTTTCCTTCGTCGATTGAGCTTGACAACACTGGCTGCGGATTCTGCAGAAAGGCCGCTGCCAGTTTGGCGACGCATGGATGCGTTGGCTCGTAGACTGAATCTTCCTTGGAGCTATCTTGCCTCTCGTCCGCGCGCGCGCATAACCAAAACTCGTTATCGAGGAACAGATCTTTCTTTGGTTAGGTGTATCATTTTCTCTTCTCCGTGGTCGTTGTCGGTTCCTCCTGCGACCTGCAGCACTGCACCCAGCCCCAAAGTACCGTGCATCGACCGTCCTCTACCAAAACAGGCAGCCTTTTCGTTCTGCAGACGCAGCCACCCCAGCTAGTCTCGGCTGCCTTCTTCGACTTGTGAATAATTCCTTCCCGCTTTCTGAGCTCAGTCCCACAGACCTTATTCGAATCCTTCTTCACCAGCTTTCCTCATCCGACTCCACGTGTGACCGGAATCCATAGTCAAATCGACGGCGCCCTTCGCTGCCGGAGTCGTCGAAGTCAAATTCCTCGTCATCAGACCGCGCATGAATTCGGTATTTACTGTAGATAGCCGTCACGTCCTCGTCCTCATCGTCCCACGACAATTCTTCATCCGGATAATCATTTGCGGGATTATTCTCAGCTGTGTCGTGCCATGCCCGTTAGCCCTTCAATCCTTCATCCTTCATCCTTCGCTTCACCCTGTCTTCACAATCAGACGGGACCTTGCGCTTGGACTTACCATTCGAGTCTGCATCTTCGCTGTCCCACCGTTCTTCATCCTCCTCTTCAGCGAAATTCTCCCAGTATTCTTCGTCCTCTTGCGTAATGACAATAACCCCAATGTCCTGACGAGTCATATCGATGCCGTGCTGCTTAAACCAGGCATCATGGTCCAATTCCAGGTTGGCTAGCGGGTCCGTAAGCATGCCACTAACTGGAAGCGGCTTTCGAATGTACGTATCGTAGACATATTCGCCGTCGCTCTCCTCGTCATCATCCTGCTCCGCAGGCAGGGCGTCGGTCACCGTTGCGGCCGAGTGAGGATCCTGTACAGCGCTGCCCTCCCCGGGCTTTTGCGTAGGGCGATGTTTATTGGGCGTTCGCGGTTGGTACTTCAGGGGCGGCTTGGGCATTCTCACCGAATGAGACGGCGACGGCTGCCCGCCTCCAAAAGCCGAGGACCCAATGTTGCTCTGGGGGCTATACGGCCCCGCATGCTGCATGTCCACTTCCATCTCCGCATCCAACTCCAGGGCCACCTGTTCGAGCTCCTTTGCGAGTCGCTCCGACTGATCCTCCCAGGTGCTCTGGTGAGAAGCCTGGGATTCCTGATCCAGAACTTGGGAGATATGCTGCTTGGCAGCCGAGATGGCGCTCTTGCGCTCTTCTCTCCATTTCCTTTCCGCCTGGTTCACCACGGGCCGCTTGCGCGGTCGAACGGCTTCCTCCGCCTCACCAGCACCAGTGCCCGAACTCGAGATCCCATCCAACCCTTCAGCACCAGCAACCGCATCCGCCACCAAGGACGCCTGCCTCGAATGGGGCTTGCGCTTCAGCTTTTCCACCAGAATCGCGACGGGCCCGTCCCCTTTCCGCTTCTGCACCCCCGCACCCGTCCCCCGGAGGGTAGTGTTGATCGGGGTGCTGGACCGGGAGATCTGGAACCGCCGCAGCGACTGCTGCGAGGCAGCTGCGGATGACGAGGAAGCGGGACTCTCGTGCCCACTGGAGGCGGCGACGGTGGGCCCAGCGGCACCACTGTCGAGGGCCGGCGAGCGACTGCCGGCCGGCGATGAGTGCAACGCTCGCTTCAGCTTCTCGTCGTGCTCCCGCCGTGCGGCGGCGAGGCGGCGCTCCTCGCGGAATTCCGCCCCGGGCGATGTCGCCCGCACCAAGGGGACACCACCGTCCCCCGCAGCGGTGCTCGAAGGGAACAGACCACTGCTCACGGACCGTGGAGTGCGGATCACCCGTTGCTGCCCGGACACCAGGGGCGGTGGACTGGAGGATGTTCCGCTAGTAGTGCCCTTGGGACCATGGCCCTTGACCTGGACTCGTTGGAAAACAAAGTCTGTAAACCTTCGTTTGGTTTGATGAAGTTCTGATTGGATATCTGTTGAGGTGAGTCAGTTCTAGTTCTGGGTGAAGCAGAAAAGGGCCGTAGTATTGGAATTTAGATAGACGAGATTGTCGCCAAATCAGAAACCTGAGGAAACGGCTTCTTATGCAATGAATGGTTGGGGAAAAAAGCAATCAAGCAAGGGTCCTTCTCACATAATGTGTCGACGGGCTCTTCTTCGCGACGCCGCTTGATATTAATTTGCTCCGGGGGCAGAGACATCCTGAGGTAGTAGCAAGAAGGCTGTGAAGGTGGGATTTACACGGCTACTGATGAAGGCGAAGTCAAAGCTATGATGGATGCTGCTTGGGATGTTCGATCATGGTAATCCCTATTCAGGTTAGCGCTATCTGGCCGGTCTTATCATCACGTGACTATAGAAGTTTTTCCATGCTACCAAGTCGGGCAAACCATCAACAAATTACCCCCAATAGTGGGTGGAAACAGTACTTTACGATCCGCATTACTTGCACCCTTGCAGCCTTACACATATTAACCAGGCGTTGTCATTTTCTTTGCTCTTGAGGATAGCCCTCCTCGTCTCTCCTATGTTGTTTGATGGTGGTAGCGCTATCGTTATCCAGTATCAATTACCTCCGCCTGCTATATAACCCTTGTCGTTATTAGAAAGCAACAGGGGGAGCTGTGTGCTCTGGATCAAGTTCCGTCGAATGGCATCACATATGCAAATGGGCAGCTTGAAACATAAAGAACAGACCGAAGCCAACCGATCTGCGGTGCAGCCGAGATCCCGCCCGCTTTCGTAGCCAAATGCAGATCCAATAAAATAATGTAAGTAGCCAAAAGAAGAGAAGCAGAGAAGGGAAATAGAAGGAAAGAAGGGGCAAATGAAGAAGATCAAGAAGAAGAAGAATCATACCCAGCTAGCAATACAAGTGTTGGTATATGAAGAAACGAGGGAATTAAACGGTGTAAAGTGGTGTGGTCAAGAAACGAAACATTTAGACAATTAGAGAAGGTGAAAAACCACAAGGGGCGACAAGCCAATACAGAGAAAGGGATCAAAAATGGTGACACTGAAGGTAATGGCGAGATGCCAAAATGGGGGCATGAAATTTTGAAACCACCCAAGTGATTTTAGAAAAGAGATGTTCGTCGCAGCAATCATTTGGCTCCAATCTCCTCTTCAGCCCAACCAGGAAGCGAGCTTTCGTTCTGGATTGCCAATCCGAAGCCTGCGTGCTTGAGGCCCCCAAGAGCGGATGAGAAACTAGAGAAGCTGCTTTGAGGCTGATGAGCCATTCCCGAACGAGGTGGTCCAGCCTGGCTTGAAATATGCCCAAAAGGCTCTTGAGAGAATGAAGGCAGGCTGACAGCTCGAGAGTGCTGTGCGCGAGGTACACTCAAGCCACCCGTGCTGGCAGTTGAATGGTGACCCGGTCCCGATGAACCATTTGTCACATTCAGAAACCCGTTGATGGAAGGCTTGTGCTGATGTAAAGGAGCCTCGATACTCCCGTTGCCGAGCTCGCCAGTGCTTGCTGTGTTGTAGAGGCTTTGCTGCTGAGGGGCTTGGGAATGAGACTGAAGCGCAGCGAGGGTCATCGGATCATTCAGCCGGTTCTCCTGCTCCTGAGATTGCTGAGCCGACATTTGGTTGAGATACATTGTCAGTGGATTGTTGGCTCCGACATTAAGAATGCCCGACGGCGAGGAGACTTGCTGCAGAGGGTGTCTGCCGGGGTGTCCATTCTGAGAGCCAGTGGACCCGGGGGCAGGTGACAGAGCGGGATGAGTTGGGCTGGATCCAGAGCCGGACTGGCTCAGGTTCTGCTGATAACCGTTCAGGGCCGGAGAGGGGGATTGTGTGCCTTCCATTCCTGAACCGTTACGGCCTTGCTGGCCACCATTACCAGCCTGACGCGGAGGGTTTCCACACCGGTCCTTGCCAAAGTTGATCTTAAACCGCTTGTACTCGTCCCGGTTTCGCATTCCCTCGATCGCTTTGATGGCATTGGCGATGTTAGTGAAGTTGACGAAAGCGCAGCTCTTCTCGCGCAATGTGTTAACAAGCTCAATCTCTCCGTATTCCGAAAAGTCCTGACGCAAACGTTCTTCCGGCCAGGTCTCGTCCAGGTTTCCAACATAAACATTCCGCGAAGCACCTCCGCTCACAGCGAGAGCAATGGCTGGGGGGAGGGGTCCCGAGTGTTTACCCCATCCGATCTTCAAACGACGGTTATGGATCATGAGGCCCTGAAGATTGCTCAGGGCATAGAACGAAGCCGCCGAGGTCGGGTCAATAAAGGTGACAAAGCAGATGTGCTTGTCCGGAATATAACGAATGTGGTGAAGAAGTCCGCCACGTACGACATTACAGATTTCCTCAATTGTGGTTTCAGGGTGGATGTTGCCCAGGTAGATAGTGCGATTACCGAGGTTGTTCACGCCACCGGCTGTGGTAGCCACGGCTGCGGCGGCAACAGATTGTTGAGCGAGCGCATTCGTGATCAGGTCACGGTCTGCCGAGTTAAGAATATGAGCGTATCCTGGAGCAATGCCCAAGAATTGGGCGGCGTTCTGCTGCTGGGTCTTTGAGACGTATGCACATCGGTCTTTACCGTAGAAGACACGCCGGGGGGCCTGCCACTTGGCCTCCTGAGGTAATTGTGAGACAGCCTTGATAGCGTTACTGATCGACAGGAAGTGGACAAAACCAATCGCCTTCTCTTTGACAATCTTGACAGTGTCGATGAGACCGAACTTGCCAAGTTCCTCCCGAAGCTCTTCTTCTGCCATCTCCTCGGGAAGATTGCCCAGGTAAACATTCCGCGATGCGCCAGATTGTTGCACTGCAAGCGCCACTGATGTAGGTACTTGCGAAGGCTTTCCCCATCCAACCTTGATATCGTTACCCTTGATGGCGAGCTTCTTCAGGATAGCGTCCGAGTGAAAATGTGTCGCGGAGTTACTGTCCAGGAAAGAGATAAATGCGCAGTTCTTGTCGGGAAGCAAGCGAACGGATTCAATCTGACCGCTCCGCACATGGTTCAAGATCTCTTCCGCAGAAGTTTCGGCAGGGATATTCCCCAAGTAAACAGTACGGCTCGTTCCAGAAAGCATACCAGGGGTTACCGAGGCGGCATGAGCGCCAAACGCGGCGTTACCCAACCCGCTCAAGCCTCCTACTGGAGACTGCGGAGCTCCTAGCATCTGGGAGTTACCCATGCCATCTGGCGACAACATGCCGGAGTAAAGACCATGATTCTGTGAAGGCTGAGTCGGACTTGCGAGAGGGTGGCTCTGATTCTGTGCATGTGTGGGACCATTGACTTGAGGAAAGCCTCCAAAGTTGGCGAATTGAGGCGAGGCAAACGCAGATGGGGTGCCGGGTTGGAAAGGACTACCAAGTAGCAGCTGAGACGGTAGGAGGGGAGTGAAGTTCATGTCGAACGCGGTCCCCGCGGAACCCATGGTGTCCGAAATCGGAGCTGAGGTGTTGATGGCAGGAATATTGGCACGACGAGCGTTCCGGTCCGATAGACCCTGCAAGGGAATATTGTTGGAATTGTATGCACCGTGGGAGAAGCCCGTGTTGTCCGCGTTGAGATGAGAGAACTTGGAGGGAATCAGACGACTCGGGATGCTCGCATCGGAGGTTTGCATGGCGAGAGAAGAGAGCGACTGGACACGATAGTCCCCTAGAGAAACAAAAAGAGAACGGGAGTGAGTAGTCGGAGATGGGATGGTTGATGTCACCCAGCCAAGGGCCAAAGGGAGGGAGGACGTACGATGCAATTGACACGGTAAGAATGGCCAGGGGAGAGGGAAAAAAGCCGGGCCTGAAGATCACCCCCAGAAAGAGTAGGGGGGGGGGGGGGGGATAAGGACAAGAAGAGAGGCTCAAGAGGCCAGAATGAGAGTAAGGCGATTGAGGAATGAAAGTAATAAGAATAAGGACACAGCACGGGGCAGAAGTCCTCTTCCAACGGAGACGTGTCTAGAAGGGATCCCAGTAGTCAATTGGAATGTGCATGGACAATGAGCGGATGGGCTGGTGGAACGGAGACAAACCTGTGATGGTTTAGTTGAGTTTAGGGGGGGTGGGTTAAGTTTGCGGGTAAAGAAGGCCGAGATCCAAGAGACTGGAACAGGGGCACCAGGAAGAAAGAAAGTGGACGAACAGCAGTTCAACCAGAATTGTAATGACGATCAAACAGGTGAGCAATAGTGAAAATGTGCTATGGGTCTGTCAAATGAGAAGCCGAATTCAAAAAACCGACATCAAGAAGTGAATGAAAGGAATAATCCAGCGAACCCTGCGTAAAGTGCCAGATTGCTAGAGTTTCAAATGGTGACAAAGAAGGTCTGCCAAAGGCACCAATAGTTGAGCTCAAAAGGGATAAGTGGAAATTGACTGTGGAGAGAGAGAGAGGAGGATGATTGCAAAGAACAAAAGTAATTGAAAGAAATGATAAACAAAAGCCAGACTAATAGTTGCCAATTCAAGTTCAGAAGGAAAAGAGGTCCGATGGAGTAAGAAAAATAAAAAAATAAAATAAAAATAAGGTACGCAAAAGGGGACCCCTGGTAGGAAGGGGGAAAAGGGGGGCGTGTGAGAGATAGAGCGATAGACTGTCCGTCGAGAAAGATAATACCTTGATATTATTGAGCGATTTGCTGGGACTTTCGCAAGGCTGCTGCCCTCTCACACCTGGCTCAATGAAGAATGTCTGAAGAAAACACAGTAGAAAATTCAACTCAAAAAGGTACGACTTTGAAAATTAAATGAACAACTGGGTTAAAACAAATGAAATTGGTCAACGCCGACAATTTCCGGGTAGAAACACGAAGCGTCAGAAAGGCGAGAAAGAGCAACCGTAACCACACAGAGGATCATGTAAGCAAGGAATGAGAGGGGACAGGTATGTGACCGATGATATGGGGAAATTAAACTAGGCAGTCTTTGTCGAACGGGACCAAAGCAAAAGGGGGTGAGGGAAATTCCTCAGGCAAAGCTAAGGTCGATTGAGCCATCATAATAAGTTTTGAAGGTGTCGATAATTTTAGAAGTGGCAGATAATCTTCTTTTCCCTTGTGGAGTGAGAGTTGATTAGTAGATCCGTAGTTTTGAAGCAAAGATGGGGAAAAGGACCCCATCGAACGAATGATCCAACCATTTGTCTGTCAACCAGATTGTCTGAAACAGTCTTTTTTTTGCTTGGCCGGCAAGGCTCTGGGACCAGCGTCTAGGATCAACACTTCATGATAATGGTATCATATCCATAGCCATGACATTACCTCTTTCTTGAGAGGTATATCGAGTAGTTTGATTCAAGTCTCAACCGCGTCTTCGTGTCTGTCAGCCAAGTCTCAGGCGGACTTTGACCACTAGCCTCGCGCGTCCAGGATCTGAAAGGAATGAGATTATTTTTGTTGATCTTCTTTTTGATGTGAAGCGAGCGCATATCTAGCCCCTAACAGAGAGGGTCGACACTCCTCCCGCGACGCGCTCTTTTGTCTTCCATCCGGATAAGATGCATCACCTTCACAGACGTGATTTTTCTTCTGCTCGCGCGCGATCAGTCATTCAGACCTCTGATCAGTTACCGTGGAATCGGTAGTCACTATCCACATTGGGCAATGGGGGGCGTGTCAACCAGCCACAGACCGTCTGACGGTGGGGTGTTCCTGGACCGGAGAGAGGATTTTCGGGATATTGCACGGAACTCATCTTGATCCGGTCCGGCTGCAGAAGCATCCACTACTTTGTTAGTGCCTTAGGCAGACAGGCAGCCAGACAGTCAGACAGATCACATTCGTGGTATCTGGGGGAGAGCATATCGATGGCAGATTGGAGCTAAGTGCTCTCAGTCATCTCAAGTGACGGAAAAAGTGGCTCTGCTTCAAAGGATACCGTAATCCGTGCGAATTTCAATGGCAAGCGACCAGAAGTGCAGGGTGAGGCGACTGAGGCGGTCTAGGACGAGTGCCTATTATACTCATATGTCCCCGCAGGGAACGACATTCTGCACACTCAGGCTCTTTATCAAGAGAATACTAATTGTATCTTGTGTTGTCCTATATGGGGTAGCCTACCGAAAATGCTCTGCTTTTAACTACAAAGGGTTGAGGCATGACGCACCGACTGATGGGACGACCGGATGCGTGTTCCGTCAGTACTGCCCGGTGGCCTTAAAGCCATATCTGCCTGAGGCACACGCGGGGATATTGGGCGGAATCCAGAAATTTACCCCTCCGCAAGAGAGAACAGTCTTTCCGCACTGTGCGATTCGGACAACCTCACCTCACCTTCACACGGGACTTGCTGTGGTAGCATTTCCTTGTCTGACCGATTGGTTAAGATGTAAGTTCCGTACTTTTATCATACCCCTGTCCTCCACTCCAGTCGCCCCTGATAAGGCAGAAGGTGTGTGTGACTCACATGCACGTCTCCAAATGGATATCCACTGATCACACTGCTCCCTGGGTAGAACATAGACTCAATACCCTCAAACCACAATACCTTGCAAGAGGACCAACACCATGGCCACCATCTATATCGACGAGGATGTCGGCCGGGACGAGTCGACCGCGACCGGCACCGAATCCGCTCCTTACAAGACTCTTGTCCACGCTTTCACACAGCACCCTCCCTCCGAAGGAAACCAATACCTGACCCGCAAGTCCCAGACCGAGCCCGCCGAGGAGGGTGCCGACAAGCTTGAGTGGAAGCCCGCCACCAAGTCGGCCGTCAAGAAGGCCACCAACCTTTACGAGCAGCGCAAGAGAAAGGCCGCCAAGGAACAAGAGCTGGCAATCCGCGAGAAGCAAGAGGCGGAGAAGCGCCAGGTCATCCTGGAGGAAGCCAAGAAGGTCGTCATCAAGGAAGATACCTCCCTTCCCAAGCCCGTCAAGATCCGCCTCGATGAAACCGACCCCGCCGTCGTCAAGTTGGGATCTCCCGAATCCGAGGGCCCCGGTACTCGTGTCCGCGTTGTTGGACGTGTCCACCGCTTCCGCCCCCAGAAGGACGTTATCTTCCTTACCCTGACCGATGGTTCCGGCTACCTTCAGTGTGTTCTGACCGGTCAGCTCGTCAAGACGTACGACGCCATGACTCTCACTCTCGAAACCTCCATTGCCATCCACGGTGAGATGCGTGCTGTGCCCCCGAAGCAACACGCTCCCGATAACCGCGAGCTCCACGCGGACTTCTTCACCATCATCGGCCGTGCTGCTGGTGACAAGGATGCCATCTCCAACCGTGTCGCCCCTGACGCCGATCCCCAGACCCTCTACGACAACCGTCATCTGGTTCTCCGCGGTGAGACCATTTCCTCGGTGATGAAGGTGCGCGCTGCCACCCTGCGGGCTTTCCGCCAGACCTACGAAGAAAAGCGCATGCTGGAGGTCACTCCTCCCGCCATGGTGCAGACCCAGGTGGAGGGTGGAAGCACTCTTTTCAAGTTCGACTACTACGGGGAGGACGCCTACCTGACCCAGTCGTCCCAACTCTACCTGGAGACCTGTCTCCCCTCGCTCGGCGATGTCTTCTGTGTTTGCCCCTCTTTCCGCGCTGAGAAGTCCCTCACTCGTCGTCACTTGTCTGAGTACACTCACATTGAGGCGGAGCTGGACTTCATCACCTTCACCGATCTCCTGGATCATTTGGAGCACATGATTTGCCGTGTCATCGAGATCTTGCTAGCCGATCCTGCCACTAAGACACTCATCGAGAAGCTCAACCCCGACTTCAAGCCCCCCAGCCGTCCTTTCAAGCGCATGCGCTACTCCGATGCTATTGAGTGGCTCCGTGAGCACGACATCCCCAACGAGGAGGGCAAGCCCCACGAGTTCGGCGATGATATCGCTGAGGCCGCCGAGCGCAAAATGACCGACATCATCAACCAACCCATCTTCCTGACCCACTTCCCCGCCGAGATCAAGGCCTTCTACATGAAGAAGGACGAGCAGGATCGCCGAGTCACCGAGAGTGTCGATGTCCTGATGCCCGGTGTCGGTGAGATCGTTGGTGGTAGTATGAGAATGGACGACTATGATGAGCTGATGGCCGCCTACAAGCACGAGGGCATGGACCCCTCTCCCTACTACTGGTACACTGACCAGCGCAAGTATGTCAACGTCTTCCTGCCTCTACCCCCCCCCCCTCCTCTCCCTGTCACCACTTTGATATGTCTGACTAACATCCCTTAGGTACGGAACCTCCCCCCACGGTGGTTACGGTTTCGGTCTCGAGCGTTTCTTGGCCTGGTTGTGTGCCCGCTACACCGTCAGGGACTGCTCCTTGTATCCCCGCTTCACCGGCCGCTGCACGCCTTAAGGAGTTGTGTGATAAAGTAGAAAGCATCCATAGATATCACGCGTTAATGTGGACTGTCTGTGCCCTTCAAAAGAATCGCGAAAATTGCATGTTCAAATCCAGCTGCGAGGGAGTAAACGTAGATTCCCTGGGTAGAATTCCATCCCGACGTGGCGAATCCAATATGTAGTGTTCGGAGGTCATCCTCTAACTACTAGCAGGACAGATCGTTCGTAGTTAGATGAAGGCTGTATGTGCAAGAGTCTTCTGCGTAGAGGCGAGCAAGTCGACGGGCGCCTAGCTCCTCTTTTCCAGTGGCCGCATTCTTATCTCAGACCTTTCGACTTCATTTCAATCGGCTAGCTTTAGCTTTATTCCAAAGTATACGTGCGGATATGATCCGTCACACCTGATGACGGTAATAATCCGGGAGAGAAGGTCCATCGGAAGTATCCCCAGTATCAACGAGGGGGAAGACGCACGAAGCCGCTTAGAGACCTCACAACAAGGCCAACACCCAAGAGGAAGAATATACAAACAACCGAGAACAGCTGGTCCCAGCCAGGATGGCAGTTAGTGTTGCAGCAGAGACGCAGTGGCAAAGGGCAGCAGACAACCCATGGATTTGGGTCAAGGCGTCCGATCCGATCGGTCGTAACCCACACTTTCCCATGACATGGTCTTGGGTGGTATACATATACGAGCGGGTTGCAACATCCGCGGGGATGTTTGGCATGTGATACGAGATTGTTCTCGCCTGGAGATACGAAATATTTGTGAATTGGGGAAAGATTTCGAGGGTTCAATTGGGCGGATTGGTGGAGAGAGGGAGGGCGTTGGTGGTTAAAGTTATTAGTACGGGTGGGCTATGTCCACACGCACAATGCCTGGGGAGCTCTATTGGCATCGAAAGTGTATCCTAGGTAGGAGGCAGAAACAGATTTGCGTTCGACTTGCTCGAGTCTACCTGCTGTTGTAGGAGGTGGCATTCCCATGTTCTACCGCTATACTTTGGCATGGGGGAACCGGTCGAAAATGGATCATGGCGCTGGCACTTACGAGCCGACGTTGTTGTTGTTGTTGTTGTTGTTGTTGGAAAGACTGTGTTCTGATGCATGTCAAACCGAGCGTTAGGCTGATCGTGTCGACCTCGTGTGTGTGGTATCAGGAGATGATGCAATATGACAATCATACTGTGTCTTTTAGTCGAGTGAGTCGAAGTGTGAATCTGGTCGTCTTCACATGGGCTAGCGTCCATGTGCATCCGAATGGGCATCGTGAGCGACTCAGCTAGTGGTATGCAAAATAAAGTCAAGCCACAATTCCTCATGGTGTTATCCTCTGGGGCACATCCTCTGAAAATGATATAGTGCGCTGATACTGTAAGCCGCAACTTCATCTGGGAATACTTCCGAGGAACAGACAGGTGATTCTCTCTTCTCAGTGGTCGACTAAACCAGATTCTAAGTGACAGGATGTTTCACCCAATCATTCTCCTCCCCATTAGTGCATCCTGCGGTCAACCAGGGTCAACCCGAAGAGAAACCGTCTCATAGCCCATAGGAGTTTATCACGAATCCCTGCCGAACACGATTTTGACTTCATGGGAGACATGACTCGAGTAGCACTCTAATTGTTCTCTTCCCTGGGGCTTTCGTCATCTTCATCCTCGGGGATATCATTGATGGCAGGATCGTTGTTCAGCAGAGCGTAGATGTCGGTATCAGAGGGATTGGCACGAATGATGGAGATCAAGTGAGCAACACGCGCCTGATCTCCGCTGCGGACAATGGTCATGATCCGTTCCAGAAGACCTCTAAAATAGTCGAGCTCGGCTGCGAGTTCTTCAGGGGCCTGTGAGGTGCTTGATTCAAGATCAGAACTCTGGCTAGTGTCGTCCGGGTGGTCGTTGTGGAGGCTATAAAGAACCACAGACGGTTAGGCAGGAACGAATGCGGTGCCAGCGTAGTGAGTTCCAGGGCTGAAAAGTGTCTACCTTTCATCTCCATTTGGGGCAGAGCTGCTCTCTTCCGCAGTCATCTTGTTATATCGTCACAAGGCGAAAGTTTGCTGGTCTTGGCTGCCTCAAGGTCCCGCGGGGTAGTGGTTGAGGGCTGCACAAGACGGGAGCAACACGGGGTTCTGGCGGTGATCCGGTTGAGTACGTCAGGGGGTTCTCGCAATAGAAAGGTATGGGAAAGATGAGGTTGGGCGTAAAATGAAATAGTAGGGAAGAATGGTTGATTCCCACTGAGGCAGAGCACTATCGACTGGATAATATCTGGACGGCCAGAGAGAGGGAGATGTTGCAGTGATAGGAAGTAAGAGTGCAAGGAGTTAGTCGTGTCTAGTCCCTCCTAGACAGAGTGACAGGCTGGCAGTCGGCTGAGGCTGAACCCCTGGGCAGTCAATGCGGTGTCCGAAGAGTCACACACTCAACCGATACTTCCGCGCATCAACCATTTGCGTGGTAGGGGAGAGCTTTCATCTTCCAGGTTGGAACCAGACAGAGAGAGAGATGAGGGAGGAGAAGATATCCTGCCTTTTAGGCCAAACAAACTGGGTGACAGGGTGGACTGATAGGCGCACTGGCGCGCCTACAGAAGGGGTAGACCGTCACAAATCGAGCCTGAGTTGCAGCCCGTAGTAGTGAACAAGTGCCACAATTCACCCTAAACCACACTGGAACCCTCAGTGGCAAGTACCACTGGGTATCTGGGTATCGCTAGGACTCCACCCAGTATACCATTGAAATCGGGGGGCCACTTAACCATCACGGACGCTGCGGATACTCTGTAAGGGCACGTTTTGGTATGCTGAAACATCCCCGATGGGTTTCCATAGCATAGCAGCAATACAGGAATCGGGATAATTCAGGGAGATTGGGTGTCAAAGTGCCAATTGAAGTATATCCATCAAGTCGATGGAGGTGTAAATTGGAGATTTGGAGGTCGTGGAATGGTTTCATGGCCGGAAAAGACTGCTTGTCTCGACCACCTCCCAAACCCCGGAAAAAGTCCCCAACCAATCCCTGGGCCCGTGGCGGTCTCCGCCGCCCATCACGAAGAACAGAACAAGGGCCGGTCGACGAACCTGCAATCCTCTGGAAATATCATCCATTCTTTCAGATAGGCTCAATTGATTTCCCGCTGCTCAGAGCTAATTTATTGTTTTGTATCTCAATTCGATGCTTGTGTAGCTGCCGCCGGTAGCTGCCCACTAGTCTTCTCTCCACCGGCTCGCTGCTGCAGATTGTCTCCCCTGGCTTTGCCACTGCCGCGAATGCCCTCATCAGAAGGTCATGTTGTGGCCAAAATTGCAGACTCCATACATCTCGCACACGAGTGAAGAACTTGCCTTTGGGGCTAATCATTTAGCTCATCCAGGGGATTGATCGACAGTTTGGTACCTGTCCCGCTATCCATTGGCAGTTAACGTGCTCCAGCTGTCACCTTCATTCGACCGCATCTCGCAACGGACAACACGCGTCACTCGGCCTTCAGCTCTCATTTTTATCAACCTAACTTCTTGTCGATAAGCAGTACGTCGACTGGTCACCCTCAAGCAAATCTACCAGATGTTGAGACTCGCCCGTAGTCATCTGGGACGGACGTTCTGTTGGCTTCTGTTCCCCCTTTGAAGCCATATGCTCCTCCCGATTTCTATTAACACCGTGCCTTGTCAATCTTGCGACTACGTCACAGACGTAAATCGATTGTGGACATATCTCGAAAGGCGCCCGTACTCCGGCCAGAACACGACGGAGGGCACTTCAGATGCAGGGCCATCGCAGAGGTATAATCCTACCATCATGTTTTTGTTTCACCCAGTCTTTGTGCAGCTACTGAGGAAATCTTGCGTGCGAGATAGGTCTTATGAGCTCAACACATGTCGTTCAATATGGTCAACGCGTATCATCGGAAATCCAGAACTTTCCGTCCCACCGCTTCTCTAATCTCATAATCGCAGCGAAACTTTTGAGTTAACATGGGGTAGTCTGCTGTCCACTTTCAGAACTCTTTCCCCGCAAAGAGTTAGGTCCGATATGGATTCCAGGCAACTGTCTGTCTGATGCACTTCCCAACCAAGAGCATCCCCTTGCGTTATTTATCAAAGATGCACCAAAACCTCAAGAGCTGGTTCAAGAATTCGCACGATTAAACCCGACCTGGCTGGGCACATACAATGCCAAAGCAGAGACCCCCGAGCTTTGGTCACAGACAGGACTGAGAGGGGGATGTGTGTGATAGTGTTAAGGGACAGAACGATATCCATGAGACAGGGACATCATATTGGTAAGAGGTGGACAGCTTGTGGACATTGATGCCCTCACTTGGACATGAGTGGCCATCGATTTGTCCATATATGGAATGACCTTGAATATGAGCAGGACAAGATTTTTTCAGTTTGCTCTTCAATCTGTGAGAGCGCAGGGTCGGGTTGCAGAATTGAAGGGCACGAATACCAGACACATGCAGCTCTATGAACGCATAGAAATAGGCACAAGTCAGTGAGCTTCTAGGCACCAACACGGGCCGGCATTGATATACATATCGCACACAATTTGAATCGGAGGACATGGCCGGTGAGAGGTTCGCATCGTGCATCCTGAGATGACCTTCTCGTTGATTTATTTCGTCATGTTGCACTTGATTTTGTTCAACGGAAGTTGCGGCGGCAATCGATGGACGTCTTAGTCTGCCTTAGCGCGGGTCTCGGTTCGAAGCTGCGAGGTGGCCGACCCGACCCGGTTGCATTCCATTCAAGCATAAGGGCAATTCGATCAGGCTTGTTGAAGTGGTCGGAACGAAAGAGAGGCGCTTGCGCTTGGCGGAGTGTTGAATTTTCTCGTGGGCATCGTTTTGCGGTCACAGGGAGTCGGATCAGCGGGGTTTAGCAGCTGTCAACTCCTGAACTGCCCCATCTCGGCCACGTTCGATGCTATGATTTCACATGTGGCGAATTTGTCGATCGTGTAAGAAAGGGTGTTTGGGGTGAATCGCTCAACAGGCCAGGGGATGCGTTCCCACTGCATTGCCCGACAAGGCACTTGGTCTCTAAGCCGCACTCACAAGCGTCGGTGGATCCATTGACTCGATCGGATCCTTAGTCAATCTTGCTTCGATTGGCTTCTGAGCGTCGCGATATATTGGGTATTCCAGCACTCCTAGTCTTGATGGCTAGCAACACAGCCAAACAACAACTAGGACCTTTGAAACGCCCCGATGAGCCCGAAGTGACGGCACGCTTTGATGCCTTCATGCACCCATGTAAGTCAGATTCGAATTCTCCCGCGCGTAAATCCAGGATTGTTGTCGGAGAAGTCTCAAAGCGAGACTCAGACCACAGCTAGAGCAAGTCTCCTCTGCTCAGAAGCCCCCCTTTTGTTCAAATAAGCAATAGGAGGGAGTAAACCTCATCAAACCGGCAAGTACAGCCCGAAGGCGGGTATGGAAGATATTTCCGGGGTATGAGATCTCAGCTCCCATGCAGTCATAAGGAGCCGGCTTTGGGGGTGGGAGCACAACAAACGTTCGACAGACGGCCTTTCGAGGAAGACCAGATTGAGGATGTGAAAACAAGCAGTAGAGTCTGGCGGAGAGCCGCTCCTGTCTCTGTGATGGATAATGATTCCTGAGCCGCTTATTGGGCTCCGCTGTTCGCATGCACGGCACCTTCGACTAGGTCTTTTCGCGTACCAATCTTTGCGGTTGGCTTCTGCATTAATGACGCTCACTCAGGGGCAAGTCTTACGTGTCATCTGTTTGGGGAGGTTATGGTACTTTTGATGAACGCCAGGGCCGTAGGCTCACAACAGCCTAGCTCTCGCTTTTGCGGTGAGATACGTGATTCCATTGCTTGTATGGAGTCAAGTCGAGCTCAGCTAGGCTCTACACACGGCGAATCTTTCTCGACAACCTCTTATGTCAAGGTGAGTATTAACTTCCATTGGTATTGCAAATCAATCCGACGCCATCAGCGATCGAAATGCATCAACATCAAAGTTTTAACCACCTTCTCCCCCACCCAGGTCTTTTGAACACTTTCGCAATTTGTTTCCTCTCCTCCGATTGCCCGATCTTATTGAGCTGCCGTTATGGAAATAACCACCCTCGTCCTCGTCCTCTGTCATGGTCAGACTGTTCAGTCTTTGAAGGCCATGCGATCTGGCCAGGTCACGTTGTGAAGCATAGCCAATGCTGCATTGAAATACACTACAAATGGCTCGTTCTGCATTTTACGCCTTCGGAAATATTATCCACAGAACAATGACACGGTCAGGTCGATAGGGGCCCAGGATGCTTGTCCGTCCGTGGCCAAGATCCCTAGACTGTGTAAAGCTAGCTTAGGGGATATCATGCGCTTGACGATTCCAACTACATGTCACTTCCGCTCAATTTATCCCTCCTCCTTCATCTGATGCTAGAGGTAAGTCTGTCTGGATGGCATCTGCGTTCCTGACGCGGCTTCCTCTCGTCGATCGGCCTCTATCAGGCGAACCTGATTAGTAGGTAGGATGTGTTTGTTTCCAAACTCGGTTACACATACCCTAACCATACATTTTCATCCATTCCCTTGCTGCCGTACAGTGCACAGGAGATCGCATTGCTCATATAGCTTTGACTGAATAATTTGCAAAATGAAAGTCTATACATATCCTCGTTCTAGATCAGAACAATCTGTCCGCCTTGGTGTCCGAGGTGGCAGACTTGACAGGCCGCACTACAGGAAGCCTAGGCAATCGATGGCCTTCTTTTCCATCTTATTTCACCACAGTTTAATGCTGCTTCTAAATGTCACTTCATTCCACGGGCCACTCAATTATAGGACCCAGACGGGTCTTTCGGCAATGACGCCTCAACAACCTTGATATCCTCGCTGCGCGAGAAAGGATTCTTCACACTGTCAACAACAGCATCTACCTCGAGGATGTGGTATACGTATCCATTGTTGTTTCTTGACTACGAAGGCTCGATAGGGCAAACGACATTCAGTTCTATATTGAAATTCTTCCTTTGTCTGTAACCTCCAACGAGTCCACTGCTTGGACCTTCTTTGATGGACGTAAAAGATCACAATATCAACTTGCTACATAGCGAAGAGAACAATCTCCCTCCCATCCAGTGAGCCGATCTCGCAACCTTGTTTACTTCCAATTGAAACCCACATACCACAGTCAACCCCATCGAATACCAACCAACCGACCAGCCCATCGCCCCCTTCGAGCCCACATTCTTCAACCTCCTCACCTGCTCCCTCTCGACCGCATCCCCAGAGAGACCTGACTGAGCTCAAGTGATGAGCCAAGAATCCATCTTAGCGAGAAGGTGTCAACACGCGACGACCCAGAAGTTGGAACTCCCATAACGCCTGCCGAAATCCAAACAAACCCAGCTGCTTACCCACACCCCCTTACTTCCCGATCCCCACACATCACGTATGTATGTATGTATGTATGTATGTATGTATGTATGTATGTATGTATGTATGTATGGCGCGCAGGGTAGGTTTCTCAATTTAAAGCTCCATCCCCCGAGTCTAAGATCTTGTAGATACATCCAACAGAACCGTGCACCCCCAACCCACAGTCTGACAGCCCCAGACGTTCCACTCCTTCTACCAAACAACCATTCGTCACTCATTTACACATCCACATCCACAACCATCAACAAAACCCCCTATCCCCCCAAAAGAAACCCCGCAAGATAATCCAAAATGCAACTCTCCGCCCTCCTCCTCGCAACCGTCACCCTCCTCGCCTCCACCGTCTCAGCCCAGACCCGTCCCCACGGCATCGACATCGGCAACGAGGCCTGCGTAGGCTCCTGTGTCCGCAACCCCAAGCTGTTGACCTGTCCCAAGACCAAGGTAGACCAAACTTCCCCCCCCCCTACCCCGATATGCCTCGATCACCCAGTGCCGTATGTGGGCTTGAGGTCGTTCTGCACTATCCTGCAACGAGTGGCCGTGCCCACAGCCCCTTTCCTTGCCTCAACCCGGTTGGTGGGTTCACTGGCTAACACCACGACAAACAGTACCAACCCGACCAAGGATGCTATGTATGCTGCTGGGCGGACGATGACGCCGATGCGTGGGCCGATCACGTTCACGATGACTTTGGGGATTTTTGATTCAGATCGAAAGGGGGGGGGGGGTTGATTCCGCCGAGCCGTTAGGGGCTCGGTTCGATTGGTGTGGCTTTTGCTGTGATGTGAGGTGAGGTGAGGTGAGGTGAGGTGAAAGACGCCCGGGTCGGGTGGTGACGGTTACTGGCTTTGCTTTTCTGGGGTATACGTATACACGCGCGAGGGCGAGTTGTATGATGGACTGTGCTGTATGTACTTGCGAGTCGGATTTATACTATGAAGGTTGATATCCTCAAGCGGGACGGTTTATATAAGGTCGGGTAGTCCGGTGTAATGGATTCTATGCTGTTGATTTCATTCGTGCTTGTCTTATGTTGCTCGTGCATACGATGGATGATGGTGGGGCTTGGGGGGGGGGAGGGTAAATTGCGTGGGTAATGCTCCTCCGGCTCGGGGTAGTGCACTTGACTTCACTTGCTATTCTGAGGCAATACTGTACATGAAGTGTACGGTGTTCGTAACAGGTTCTCAAGTGTCGAGTCAAGGGTGGGTGAGGTCTTCGAAGTGTTAATGGTTCTGAAACCTTGTGCCTCCAAATGCTTGACATCTGCCGTGGTACCGAACAGATATGCAGAGTTGGCTCACTACTTACATATTAACTTGTAGTATCGTCCTGTCCTAGCTGATGCCACCAGTTCGACTCGCCTACAAGGCTGACGAAGAATGGTGGGCCAAGCCATGAGAATCTGGGGTAAGTCGGCAGACTTGCAGACCGATGGACAGCAAGCTACGTACAAGGTCTGAAGTATACATGTCCACTTTCAGCCTGACTCGCAGGCTCCACTGGTTCACATTCACGGTAAGAGTTGTGGTTGTAGAAGATTCACTTCGTGAGGTCTAGCTAAAATGCTCGTCGCTATCCGCCTTTTTACAAGCCCAACACCTGCTTGCTTATTAAAGAGTCTATCCCATAATATGCTGCTGTTGTCCATGCTCAAGAAAAAAAAAAGAGTTGTTTCCACGCCTATCGCCCATAACATCGTTTCTCGCATGCTTTCTATCATGTTCCCTGTCCAATGATTGCAACTGGATGATAAAAAAAGAAAAAGAAGAAGAATAGAAGGATGAAACCACTGTTGCAGTTGGCACGCGACCCAGGTGCGTATAGTTGAGGAACTGAGGATGCTTTCAAAATACTCAACTATGCAAGTACGTGAAATAGCTAACCTAGTGCTCAGACAGAACGCATAGGCACATCGGAGCTCACTGCGCCCAAGGTCGTAGTCAGGGTAGATGTCTTGTTGAGAGGCTTATCATTCCACAGTGCACTGCTGGCAGGAAAGATGGACCCATCATTGGACATGTCAACGGGGGAGACGTCCTCAGCCTGCACATGGACGTGAGGAACTACCAGCTCAACCCCTTTGGCCGCACTCGAACTGCAAAAGTGCGGGTTGTGGCGCGGCGGCAACGGACGGTATGCCGGATCGTGCATCTGACTCATGTAATCCGACGCGTTGCTGCTGAACGACGACGCGACCGTAGACGGCGTATGGATCAGCGAGGGAACGGGTCCCGTGCTACTCATGAGAGTAGTCAGGCTGGCGGAGCTGCGATGACCGAGCCCAGGGCGGCGCAGCGGCACACCACGATCATCGTTGTGGAACTGGGACAGATACTTCCAGGCATCCGAGGTTGCCACTGAATGAGCACCGTTACCCATCGGTATTACAGGCTTCCATTCGCTGGGATCCTGATCCGTCTTGATATCAAGCCACTCGCCGGGTATCCGGGCAGAGCTGGACAATCTGGTGGAGCTTCTTGTCGGGGTCAAGGGAGCGACAATCATCCGAGGCGACATTAGAGGGGAGCTCGGAGGAGTCGAAGAGGAAGACATGGAGGGAGCAGATGAGAAGGATGCTGAGAGTGGTTTATGGGAGTCCTTGCGACGGCAGCTATAGATAAGATGAGTGTAAACATGAGAAACAGGATGTTGAGGGCGGATAGGGGCGATGAGGTGAGATTTAAACAACGGAGCTGTGCTCAGTGGCTGGCAAGTATTGTGCACGATAAGGAGATTCTCATACCTTTCACTACAGTAAAGAAGAGTATTGTCTGGCACTGTTATCTGTCTCTCGCACATGGCGCTGTTGATCAATTAGCTTTGAGTGAACTTTAGATAAGAGAATAGACAAAATGCAAGCCAAGAAGAAGCAATCCAGGTACATACCAGAAATTGAGGAAGCTGGCCGCCATCTCGGGTTGCCGGTCGTCTTCCACCTGCAAGTGCTTGTTGGGCTGTCCAGAGCCTAGCTTTGAGATGGAATGATTCACCCAGGAAGTGCCTCTCCGATGTAGTGCCGGCCGGGAGGTCCTCACTTTAGTGGCATTCGAACCCGAGGGTGTGCGACGATGATGAAAAGCGCCTTGAGTCATTGATGGCGGTGAAGGGGTATATGTATAGGGCAATCAAAAAAATAAAAATAAAAAAATATACTCGTCCAGAGGCACCGAAGTGGCTCTATCTGAGATAGTTCGGCGGGTGGTACCTTGCGCCGATGGAGGCCGCGTCCAGTTGTGGAGCACGAGAGCTTCCCCTGATGGGGGCAGAGTATGAGGGATTTGCGACTAGCAGGGGGGGAGGGTCAAGTGCACAGCTGGACCAACCAGCTGGACCAGCCTGTCTCGGATAGTGGAACTGAGAGGTACTGCAGTCCCCGTGATGGTAATAATGCCTCGCACTTGTCCAGAAAGGAGGCAATGATTGAAAGCATGTGCTGGATCAATCCGACGGAGGACCTAAGAATACAGATCTGAGCGCCCTTTTTTTGTGTTTCTTTTTTGGAAGGGAACCCCAGCAATGAGGCAAATATGTAGCAGCCGGATTGCAAATTCTTTATGATGATAATGATGCCGATAAGCTTTTCAGAGTGTGTATCGGTGTATCTGCAGTGGCACGGCAATGGTCAGATCAGTCACAAAAAATAAAGGCGCAGTTCCACTAAAACGGGAAGTGGCCGACTTGTTGGACGGTTATCAAAGGCCTCTGAGTGGGGAGAGATAAGGGACTTTTTCCAACAAGGCATAATAGATTCTAGCCTGATACGAGGAGGCATACATACCAATTTTTTATTTTCGTTGTCTGGCTTGCAGAGAAAATTGAATTTCCTGCCTCCTTTTTTTTTTCTTGTAATTGTTGGGGATAAGGGAGACCGATGACGATATTGTTCTCAGGGTACACCGCACCGCACGTGCAACGGCTGATGCCAAAGAAGGGTGTTGTTGTGATCCCGTTGCGGGATTATTAAGTGGCGGTGATGGGTTATCGTGCAGCTGGCTGAAAAGTAAACCCAAAAAATTCGCTCGGAGAATATTGCGTGACCAAGGGATACCGAAATGAGGTACACAAGACACAAGAATTGTCGATGTATAAGAATGATGGTCGATTCCGGTCCCTTCTTGGAAAGTCGATCGATGGATGTATGTCCGATTGCCGATGAACCGATGGGAGTGGGAGTATGACGAGGGAAAGCAGAGGGATGGCGAGAAGGGGAGGAGGAGGAGGAAGATATGGTAAATATAACTGAACAGCGGGGAATTCTAGAACTGAACTCTATCCGTATACTTGGGTAGAGTAGAGCAATACCACCTAGATGAGAAGGTCAGCTTTTCTTCCCCAAACGATTGCGCATTATTTCCCCAGGGCGAGGTGACAACCGCCGAGCACGTCAAAGTCCACCTTGGAGAGTCACGCCATTGCGGTCTAGAACGGAGGGATTTTACCCCCCCCCCCCCCGGGCGCTGGCCTCAGGCACCACAGTCGACGCGCAATCGTGTCTTCAATTGTCTTTGGGAGAAGACCATTGAGCAACATAACAAAAATAACACCTGCTTACCTCACCACCAGCTGGAGCCTGGATGACCTAATTGTCCAATGTAAAGTGACAAAGTCAACTTAGTTACTCGTAACTGATACTCCGCAGTTACGGTCTGCACTGACGCACTGGGGACCGTTGCAATCGATCTCCGCTGGTTGAAACAGAATTTTCGCTGGATGGTCTCTAAATTTAGTACCTGGACGCTGTGACTGCTCTGGATCCGGTGGAGAGAATTGAGGTCAGACTGAAGGAAAAGAAAGAATTAGATTCCAGCCCTCTCCGGATCCGTTGTTCGCCTTCCCGCATTCTTATATTGGAATTCTAATCGGCATACCTACAATCGGCACTCCAGCGTTGCCGGAGCGGGGTACTGTACATACAGTAGTAAGTTACTTGGAGATAACCTAAGTAACTACGGAGTCACTTCCACCGAGCCTTGATTTCCTACACAATCCTAGGTAACTACTTTACTTGATTACTCTTGAACAAGTGTGATGACGCTTGGTTTTGGATTTAGCAGAGCCATTTGTCGGTTTGATTCCTAGCCCATCACATCACATCACCTCACCCCTCCAACCTGTCCCTTTCGATTTATCTCTGGATTTTTCCATAACCGACCGAACCACGCTTATCGGGTCGAGGGAAAAAGCTCAACCCCTCCCAATTATGCTGTCGTATCCGGATGACATGTCGTCTTGGCTTCCGGACGACATGGTCTACGCGGGGCTTCTAGGTCTGATCGTCAACACCCCCCTCCCCCATTCTAGAGTGGCACCCTTCGTTGATTCGGGCACCCATCATCGACCGAGGGGCGTCAGCTGTCAATCCCTCCTACTCCACCGCTCTTGGTCTAGAGTCTCTAGGGCAGTGTCTGAGACTCCGAGTACAAGGAAGGGATAGACCAATGCTTTACGTACAAACTTACACATGGTAACTAGTGCGTCTCCAGCGCGGACTCCGTCGTGAAGTCGTCTCCTGCAGGACGTGAATCTGAAATTGCGACGACCCCTAGTAGGATCAGTGCGGTAAGATCAGCCGCCGTTTAGATCCAATGATCGCGCCATATGGCTCGAATGCAGTGCATACCGGTAGTACAACACGTACACCCCCTGAATACCTGTTGACCTTGGTGGTGGTGGTGGTGGTGGTGGTGGTGGTAGGCAAACAAGGAAGGTTCGAGACTACACTTCATTATGGAGTACATGCTTTATCTTTCCACCGGTTCATCTACCTTGGGGGTGTGACGCCATCAATACAAATGTCTGGAAGGGTATCTGGTGTCTATCGGTAGAAGGGGTACAGAAGCAAAGAGAGTTCGGCGGGGTCAGCCACAACAGGAACGCTTCCATTATTCCGATGCTGCTCCGATGAAAGGGGACAGATTTTTCATAAATAAGGACGACGAAAATAGCTGAGACAGACTTAGGAAGGAAAGGAAGCGCATCAACGGCTTGCGCCTATAAGGTCCACGGCGATCAACGGAGTAGACAAGGTCGGAGAGGAAATAATTGCCCGGCCGCCGAACTGGAGGCGATGTGGTCTATGATGCCATTGAGACAATAATGAAGAGTCAATGATAGTGGGGTAAAGAAAGGAAAAGAAAAAAAAAGCAATTTCACGCTCATCAAGCGCACCATGCAGTTCTACGATCACTGCAACCACAATTCAAGGCATGATAGACGACAAGACCCTATCTCAATTACAGTCTGTCCAAACCGTGCCGCCTCCCTCACTCATGAACAGTATTTTTCTATCAAATGAAAACTCTTTGCCGGTCTTCCCTACGGTGCCGCTATGGATGAAATATACTGAGTATTTGACTCAAGGCGGATGGACATTCCCACCCGGTCGTTCCAGGAATCAACTTCCCTTTCCACTTGTCTGACGAATAACTCCGGACCAAGTATCGACTCATTGCACTTTCAAACTCCGAGGTCCACCGATCTCGACCGTGTCAGGATCTGTTCTGGGCTTCTGACAAAGCGAAGCCACTTTCTCTAGTCTGAGTAGGTAAGTCGCTTACGTTGACCCCCGGGGAAATAATCTTTGACTTTTTGGGAAATTCATTGACGACAGCCTCACTTCACTTCAAACCTCCGCCTGCATTACCTAATGATGTACAGATTTTCAGTTTCAATTAACAAAAAAAAAAGCAAATAGCATTCCCGAGTCCTGGTGACTGCCACAACGGCTCCCTTCCATGCTGCCAGTACGGAGTGCATCGTAGTTACAGTATCAAATTAGGGTGCAAACGGCTATTTTCCCCTTCCCGTCCCTCCATCAACGAATATACTTACTGTATCATCGACCTAAATTACTGCATTCAGTGGGAATGCCGATGCGATGCAGCCATGGCCGTGGCTGCTACAGTGCCTGCCTGCCTAGCAACTTACTGTACCTACCTACCCCTCCAACCCCTTGACCCTTTATCTCCAGATAGATTGCTACTACTCCGTACCTATCTTTCTAAACGCCCCAAACTCAGCAACCACCGTTCACATCCTACATAGAAGACAATACTCACATTCCACCGGGCCGCAGGAAGATCATCGCTCATCCACCACTCTCACTCTCGCTCTCGCGTTCGCTCTCTCTAATTGTTTTTTTTGTCGGCTTTCCCGCGCCTCCCTCCCTCCCATCATCCCATTACTATCACACGCCAAATTGCCTCATTAGGGCAGATAAGCACCTACAGTATACAGTACCAACAGTACATCCTCACTCCAACCAAGCTAAACTAATCTTCCCTACCGCGCCGCCTCACTACATAACAGTACATACAAACCAAGGCAAGCAATCAACCTCGACTTTCCCACTCACGTTAGACGTTCGTTGGGCTCGAACAAACTCTAACCCCCCAGAACCCATTCAGCGTAAGAAAAAAAATCTCTCACATCCAGCAATTTCCGTCTCATTAAATTTGGTAACCAAGGAACCTTCTCTTTCTCTCTCTGCCCCTCGCCCGCATTCAAATCAACCCCAGACGCGGGGGCCGAAGGGAGAGGGGGAGGGAAGGGGGGGTTCCGCACCAATGCAACATCACTCACCCTTCTGTATGTACCGACTGGTACGGAACAGGAACCTTCAGGCTGGGTTTTTTTTATTTCCTAGATCGAATTGGCTTGTCTGCGCATATGCACTGCAGAATCTGCGTTGGGTAGGAGGGCCGAGGATACTACATCACTATAAGTTGAAGTATATAGCACAGATAGGGTAGGTCTTTGTGGGGACTCGGCGGCTGTTCGGCTCCTTGGCCAGCTACCAGTATCCACCAAATAACTTGTGGGGTGGTGGTGGTGAGTACTTAAGTCAAGCGTGCTGGTTGCTTCTAGGTTTGACTGAGTTGTGTAGTGAGATAGCGGTATAGATCTCAGTGGAGAGTACCTCGAGTCGTTGATGTGTGGACATGAGGTGATTTTGTTATGAACGCCGCATGTGGACTGCTGCGCTTTTGCTGATACTAACTTTTATCATTCTACGACGTTGACTACTGGCGGCTTGATAGTGAGCTGGAAAGAAGCGGCAGCAATACCACACTACCTTACCGATGGTGACCAGATGGTCGGCGGTTCTCTACGTATCCACAATGCATGAAGCACCTTGATGGCCCCTGTTCGATGCGGGAGCAACTATGGTATGCATAAATTAATGTACTGCAACATGTTCACAGTAGACCAGGCGAACGGGAACACGCCTCGACTATGACCTGTTTCCCTAGCATACTATCGTGTGGTAAAGGGAGCATTGGTGGATGAGGCTATAGCAGCCAGGTGCAATCGCTCTAGGCATATTGTAATAATTGACATGGGTATCATTGAATGGATCATAGTGTTATACAGGTTGAGGTAGAAAGGCGGAAGTTGGAGGCAGCTCAGGCTGCCATCCAATCATCGGTCAACCTCCATTGGATCTCCCGTGGCCGCCGGGGTAGGAGCGGATGCAGCAGCCGAACCAGGGTCAGGAGTAGCGGTATTCGAGGCCTCAGCTGCAGCTGGAGCCTTTGGTTCCCCGTCCGCTTTGGTCGCAGGGGAATCGTTGGTAGCCTTATCGCCCGCAGTGGGTGATGCACTCTCCTTGGTTTCCTCCTTTGCTTCAGGTCCGCCCAAAAACCTGGCCGGCACTCCACGTGCAGCCACTCCAGCTGGGCCGACATAGCACCCAAGCATTGGGCTCCAACTGAACTTTTGCGACACGGCGTTTCGGATTTCGTGATATGCGTAGGCGTTTGCGAATGGAAGAGACGTGTCAGGGTCTCGATAGCGGGAGGGAAGTGATGTGATCACACAAAGGGATGAGGAGATCTCTATCATGCTTTTTAGTCTATTTTTCTTTCTGGAGGATGCATGCATTATGCGGGTCAAGGGGAAGGTTGACATACTGGTCAGCCTCGGAGGCTTTTTCGCATTGAAATAAATGCTGAACTCGCGACTTTGAGCCGTCTTCTCATCAAAGTTTTCCAAGATCGTCAGGTTGCGTCCCGTCTGTTCAATGACTGAAGGAGGTTGAGGGACCTCTACTTGTGGTGCGTCTCCAGTGATGACAATTGGCTGATTAGCATGCACCTCGGGAGTATCCTTCTCGGATTGTGTTGGGACCAAGGCATCTTTAAGTGAGTCGGCTTGGGAAGGTGCTTCAGCAGCGGCCGGCACTGCAGTAGGTGAGAGCTCCTCCGAAGCTGCGACTGCCTCTACTACTTGGCCGGTAGCTGCAGGAGGCTCAGGAATTGGTTCCTTCTTTCCATCGCTGGGATTTTCCACTGTAGGCTGTGTGGCTTCGCTGGGTTTTAGTTGTGTAGCTGGTAAGTCTACCTCAGGTTGTTTTGCGGGTTCGGCCGCAGAAGTCTCGTCGCCAGAGGGTTGCGCTGAGGACTGCGGAGCTTGAGCGGCAGTTTCTGGAGCCTTTTCTGGCTTCTCTGCGTCGAATTTCTCGACTTGACTCTCTGCCTTGTCGGTTTCTGCTTCCCCACCCTGTGAAGCCGTATCCTGAATGGAATTTTGTGGTTTTGCATCTTTCATCTCTGTATCTTTAAGCTCGACATCAACGGGAGGCAATTCCGACGACTTCTCGGTACCCGACGCCTCTACGGGCGCGGAAGTGGACGGTTGCTCCGGGATAGCGGCTGAAGCTTCTGCAGGTGCAGATGCAGTTGCAGATGCAGATGCAGCTTCGGGAGCACATGGGGAGGCTTCGCCATCGGCATTGGTGGTTTTGCTTTCTGATGGCGCATCGGCCTCTTGAACTGGGCGAGAATCAGTTGGTGAGACTTCTGAAGGCTCGGAATTTCCCTTCACGGGGTCCCCTCCAGCAGTTCCAACTGGATCCTTGGAGTTTTCGGCCTGGTTGGTAGCGGGAGGGGCTGTTTGCGACGTGGCAGGCCCAACAGTAGCACCATCCTCGGTCGGCTTTTGCTCCGTCACGTTTTTCCCTTCTTTGTCCGACTTCTTGCTTTTCTTGCGTGTAGTGTCCTCCTTTTCTGGCTTGGGGGCGATATCGACTTTGCCGATCCGCGTTAAGCGACCATCGGCCCATGTAGCTATACCGCTCCAGTATGACATGACCGGGCCTTCGAGACGACGGTTCTGCAGCGCCTCAATCTTCGCTTTTCTTTCCTCGGCCTTTCTCTTCTCCATTTCCTCCCATCTGTTGAGACTCTTGCTATTGTGCCGTTCTACCCTCTCTGCTTCGGCAAGACGTTCGGCCTGCGTCATCTCCTTCGGCTTGAATTGAGCTTTCCGCTTCGCTGCCTCCTCCATGGTCGCTATGAGACGGATGCGTTTCTCCTCGCTATCTTTGAGTCGTGCATGCGTGAGTTCCTTGTTCTGCATGGTTTGTCGACGAGAAGACGACCTCGTTGGCCCTTCTTCGGGGGTCGGAATCCACGAAACGCGTTCGGACTTCTTTTTCGGCCGGGGGGCAGGCACTGCGGACACGGCGGTGGGATCGATCTTGACTCTCTTGGCGGCTATCTTATATCGAAGGTCGTCCTTCGCTCTCTTCTTCTTCTTATCTGCCCGCTCTTCCTTCTGTAGTTGCTGTTCGCCTTCAAGGTCGTCGTCCTTGGCGCTGGGTCCCTGGTCGTCTTCATCCTCCGATGAAGAATCAAAGCGCATATCATCCTCCTCGCCACCCATCTCCTCTGCATCCACGGCAAACTCATTGTCGTCTTCGACTTCTTCAAATAGCAGTGCAAGGTCGTCGTCCGCGGCAGCATCCAGAAGAGCCGACATGTGAAGCCCTGCAGTGCTTCTTTTGGCGCGTCCCTGGACGAGCGACTCGACCTGGGGTTCCTCCTCCACGGAGGATGGGGTTTCATGTTCGTCGGCCATTGTTCGTAGACTCGTTGACCAAAAAGGTGTCCCTCGGAGCAGGTAAAGCGAACTCGTTCAGTAGAAGCCGACCGTCAAGCCACGATAAGACGCGAGTCGGCTAAGGCGCGTCAAGTCACAGCAGCTTCACCACTTCTGCCATGCGTCTCCACTTCTCCCGAGACACTGATGTGGGTTGGGTAGTATATATAGAAGAACAGTGATGGCAAAGTGAATTTTTTGACTAGATCATGCGACTAGCGGTGCCGACAGCTGCGCTGCGGAAAGGCAGGCAGGCAGGCAGGCAGGCGGTGCGGAAATTCACCCTAACTAACCTTGTTGCCCCGGGCATCAACATCTTCACGTGACATGCGGTCAGATCCCAGATCCAGTGAACATTCAACAGGATCTCAACGAGTATTTGATTTGATACAATTGAACTGATTTAACTCTGACTCTGGGCAGAGTTAACTTAAACATCAACAGGAGCTCATATGCCTACCTGGTACTACACCTGAAATGAGCTTTTACAACAGTCAATTTCGGTAGAAGTAGGTACAGATACTATGCTGCTTACTGATTGCGGTCACTGCATAAAAAAGGTGCCACATGCAGGTGGAGCTCCTCAGCTCTGGGCTGGCTTGTGTTCACTGATACAAGCCTGAGACTGTGAGCTGTTCCCATTCATATACTGCTCTTATGTCAGTATTACATTTATTATACTGAGTAAAGATGAAGTTAATCGGCGCCAGTTGCTCTCTGTTCCTTGGTCAAGATATGACGAAATCAAAACAGAAAGGACTGACCCCTTGCTGTTCAGGACACCAAGCCCTTGCTTGCCATCTATGGAGTACTCAGCATATATCTCCGAGGGGAAAATAACTCCACTGCTTTTTGAAGCCATGACGAAGACTCGCGTGGCCAAGGTCAATGATCTGATCTGATTTTCGAACCTCTGGAGAGGCAGGGAAGTGTATGAATGGCTGATTACATGGCAATGTCTGCATTGCCAGTTTTTGAGATGATCCCTCGTTCTTGTAGTGAACACGGTGTCGTGCATCCATCTGGACGTGGTCATCGTTACAAGAAGCCTTCTTGTCTGAACATGCAGGTTTTCTGGGTTTTTTCTCTTTTGAGTACATTGCGGTCCAGAAAACCATATCCAAAGACGTCTGACGCAAGTTCTATTCGGCATTTTGTCGGGGAAGAAATGAATCGACTTCTTCCACGGTTACGAACCCTCGGGATCGTCTTTCGAGGAGTACAGCCGACCATTCGTCCTTTCCACGATAAACACTGAACAATATATGATTGAGACAGGAGATAACGATGCAGGAGAGCGAAGCCCACTGGAGCTCCTGAGAATACCGAGGTCAGATTTGGCGTAGTGCTGGATCGCTTCGATGAGAGCAACTGCGACGGGAAGATCATCTATGATATAGGTCTAATATCACTAATTGGACTGCCGCTGACCTCGTCCTTTGTGTTAACGGACCCAAGTATCACAGGGGACTAGTTAGGGAGTACTTCAACATCAAACATCTACCAAACCACATATCATACCCATAGAAGCTCAGATAAGTTCATTTGAAGATGCCAGTACTGTGGCTGTAATCGGTGACCAGCCAGGCCGTAAACATCGAGGATAAAGAATCCTCTACTAAAGTCTTGATAACCACAGCCCTACTACCTATGTTCAAGTCCACGATCATCCTCACCACAGGTCCCACAAAGGCGTCCACCAGCTCGCTGGGTCGGTAGTTAATGCACCCAGAAGCGACCCATATTCGGAGCTGGTCAATGCTGGGTACCCGTGCACCATGTTGTATACTAGGCTTCTGTCGCTTGTGCATCAGTGTTGGAGGGACAGCTCACTGACCAGAGGGAAGCTCAGCCAGAGTCAATCTCTTGTAGGTGGATAGGCTCTGACGACTTTGACTAACTTGTAGTCTATACCTTTGGTTAGTTGTGGTGATGATCGCCTCCCCCACCCAAGGATCAGCAGAGGGAAGCGGGCAGGTTGGCGTCCGCATATCGGAGGCGGTGGTATTTCCCTCTGGCCGTTCCCTCTCTCCTAGATTGATGTCTTTGATTACGAATAGCATAGGAAGGACTAGAATGGTTAAGCTCTCGAGTGGTAGCTTAGTGTCTTGAATACCAAGATAACTTGATTGATCATATAGCCACGGACAGAAAGCTCCTTTCGCCGCCTTTCTAATGACAGAGCCGGTAGCTCAGGATAGTTAAGGATCGGCTTCATTGGTGACTAAAACTCCTCAACATGACCTTGAGTCGTACCTAGTATGTTCTGGTCATCACCAGGAACCGCAGTTTCTGGAATGATGGGGTCCTTTCTTAAATCTAGCATGAGACCAATCAAAGGTGTGCTCTTTTATAGCGGCATGCCGAATACGATGCCACCGTATATCCGGCGCTGCAAGCCTGAATATAAATTGTTCATCATAGAAAGACAGGTCGCCAGCCAGTCTGCGGGCGCACGAGAATTACATCCGTGGTCTCTCGGCTAGGCGGAACCAGCACACCACAAGGATCACGGCCATTAGAGAGAAAGGATCTGTTGGTCGAACTCTTTACATGTCCTCTGGCGCGAAGCACTCGGTAATATCTATTCTCCTCTGTACTGTTCTAGGTAGTCGTGGTATCGAGCTAAAAACATACTACGCATAAAGACGGACCTTGGAATGCGGGGTTTTAGCATGTTTCAGGGCGAGCATCACCCAGTCGGGGTCAATCAACATCCTCGGTTTCGAGATGTCCAACACGCCATTGGCAGTCTCTGCTTGCTTTCTGGCGTAGGAATCAGCAGCCTATCATCTTGTGTACTTGCTAGGTGCCATGACGAACCACTCTTGGTGCTATGTTTCATAGTTATAGGGGCTGTAGGCCAAACTTCATTGTCATTAGACGGTGATCCTGGAGGTGGAGGGTAGTGTTATCGCCAGACTATCTGCTGCTATTATTGTATATTCAGCTATAGTGATAATCCCTCTTACTGGGAACTAAGTGAGCTCATGTGTCTAAGAATCAGGTCTTAGGAGAAAATTCAGGTGAAACATTCTGCCATCTACTGTACAAAACAGCAGGGGGTCGGTCTCTTGCCCTGCCAAGTATGAGATTCACCACAAACACAACAATTTCAATAGGACAATGAATTGAAATCAATCGACTCACTGTGTTGGATTATTGCATGGTTCAATAAGCTTTGCTGGTACCTTAAGAATTCCGCAGTGACAGAAGTAAGAATCATAACTCCGTCCCACTAACAATAAATCCCCAGACCGGTTAAGCCGGCCAACCACGAAGCCGAATATATGACATGCCTGCTCTCTTCCGGGGATCCGGCAAAGTCGAGAGCGTGAGAGAGCGTGAAACTAACTCCCGTCTTTTCCATCCTCTGTGTCTCTCCCGCTCTCTCCGCCTAACCTAACAAGCAACTCCCTCTCCTCCACCATAACCCACAGCTTCTCTCTCTCTCTCTCACTCTCTTCTTCCCATCTCTTTACTTTACCCCCTCCGCCTCTCCCTCCAACATCCACCACCCACCCCCTCATCCCCTTCTCACTTTTGTATCTCCATTGTTCCTTTTCTTTGCCTCCACTCTTAATCTTTTCGCCCATCGTATCCATCTTTATCCGTTCCTCAATCTCCGGTCTTTTCCATTCTTGTATCTTTTTTAGGCTTCTGCCCGAACGCGCGCAGTTTATTTCCAGCCACCTCTAGTCGACCGACCTTCTGGATCTCCCGTTCCTCAACGGCCGCCGCGTCTCTTCTCCTGATTTCTATCAACTTTCCTCCCCGTCGCTCGAGTTGCTTGTCCAGACAACACCGCGAGTCTTTACGGTCGTTTCGAGCCGAGCCGAGTGATTTAGTGGGAAATCAATCATTGAGATCTGATCACGGCGGTAGATCGTGGCCATCGAATCTGGACACTGGTCTAAGACATTTCTTACCCGAGTGTCATACCCGTCGACTGGTCCCCTCATAACGGATTACGCACAGCTTTTCACGATTTTGCACCTCTTTTGCCCAGCTCTTGGCCTTTTGTGATCGTTAGAGCATACGTATTCTTCTGGAACGATTCCTCGCCGATCTACGCTACGAGCACATTCACACCGCGCAGCGACGCATCGCGTATTTGAGTATTCTCATATCCATACGCAGGATTGTTCACTGCCTGTTTACCCAAATTCCGGCGGTTTATCGCTTCACTTCTCTCCGTCACCCTAATAATCGGACTGGCATACGAATCGCGCGAATTGGCTCTTTGACTGAACAACAATTTGGCAATCCCTACGGAAACCATCATCCTTCGTTATCATCCTCAAGTGCGCTAAGTTTTAGGTGTTCGCCTTTGTTGAGGTGGAGGGATATAATACATAATGTTACCCGTTTCACGACCCGAGGGCCACATGAACCTCAATTATATTCCAACTACCCAACCGATGTCGGGAACCAGCACGGGGCGCAGCTCTCCTAGCGATCTATCGGGGTCTGTTGGTATGAAGCCGCCGTTCGGATCATCAACCGGCCTGAACGGTGCTGCAGGCTCCATTGGAAGTGCGAGGCTAGGGGCTGGATCCCCATCCCATGAACTCGGTGCACGTTTATACTCGAAACGGTAGGCAGTTCTACGTCCGCGATGAAGCAGAGTTGTATTTGAATGTTCGATGGCTGACATTAGCCGCTCTTCATTCTAGCGCACGTGAAATTCAAGCAGAGGAAGGTGTTTCTCCCAGTATCTGGGGTCCCCCGACCAGTGGCCATTCAACCCCCCTGCGCGAGAACATCCCCGAGTCCCCAAGCCAAGAAGGATTTCCCGACTTAGTGCCCACCTCAAGCGGCTCGATGAATAGCACTGCTCGAAGAGCTAGAGCTGGGACCGTTCCCTCGAGGTTCTCACCCGTCGGTGCGCTGAACGAAGCGAACCTTCAACAACCTCACATAACCCAGACCTCAAGGCCTACGCCTTCGACCAGCCCTTTCCGTCCAACCGGGGTTACTGGCATTGACACAGGCGCAAAGACTGCAACTACCGCAGGCGGAAATAGCGCAGGCTCACTCTCGCGTCTCCGAGCTGGCTCTATGCCGCAGCGAGCGAATTTCCTCGGAACTTCCGGTCCATTCGGGCCGTCTCTGTTTTCGACTAGCTGGGCAACAGGCCGCGACCGGGCTACGACACTCACAAGCATCCGATCCTCTGAGGGCCCGGCTTCGCCAAGTCATTCGTCCTTCTCTCGAGACGGTCTCGCCGATACTGATGTCAAAACCTTGGACTACCTGGGCCTTGCCGAAACCCCGCAACAACCGCGAGCAACACTTGTGCGGCCGTCAGTTGACATGCTTCTCCAACAGCAGCAGCAGCAACAGCAGCAGTCTTCCCTTCCTCCGCTACTTGCGGAACTGGCGATGATGAAGAACAACAGCAGAATTCGTTCCTACTCTGTGAATGCCAAGGAAAAATATGCGGATGACGAGGACCTGGAATACGAGAGCCGATATGCACAAATTCCGTCTGGCACCGTCACGCCCTCAGCCGCCGCGACGGCTGCTCAGCTGGCTGCAACCCAGGCTCAGATCCACCAGCACAACCTGGCTGTGCAGGCCTTTGCCAATCACGCATCTGCCAGCCGTCCTCGTGCCCGGACAGCTGGAATTCTGGAAGCGCCGCCTCAGCGTTCGTCTATTCGCAACTACCTGGCTACACCATCGCGTCTGGAAAACAGCTTCAGTGCGTCTGATCTCAACATTGCAGAAAGCGGAGAATACGATGAGCTGTCCGAAGCCGTGCAGCTGATGCATCTGGGTGGCAATCATGCTTCTAATCTCGGCATGCGCCCTGCGGCGGAAATGGCTGATGAGAACAACCAGGATGGGCCGACTCGCGCACTATGGATTGGAAGCATCCCTGTTTCAACCACGGTCACGTCCCTCGAAGCGATCTTCAGCATTTACGGAAAAATTGAGTCCACCCGTGTGCTAACTCACAAGAATTGCGGTTTCGTCAATTTCGAGCGCATTGAAAGCGCTATCCAGGCCAAGTCGTTGCTTAACGGCAAGGAGATCTTCCCTGGTGCTGGCCCTGTTCGTATTGGATATGCTAAGGTTCCTGGGAGCTCTGCAAGTGGCACTCCAGGGGTCAATGGATCTCAGTCCTCGCCCACTCCGGATCCGAATGCAGGCGTAAATGGGCCCGATGGTCTGGCCAGATCCGAGGGCGGGCTCATCGTCCCTCAAATCCCAGCTCTTTCGGAGCTCCAACCAGAGATGGCTCAGATCGTTCATGAGTTCGGTGCTGCTGAAGAGGATGCTCTGAACATCTCTGCTAGTGTTCAACGCGCCATTTCGTTTGATGCGTTTGAGGACGAGATCCCTTCGATTGCTGAACCTAGCCAGACAAGAATGTTCGATGCCCCTCGCCTCCGCGATATCCGCAAGAGGATCGATAATGGTGCCTGTTCTGTACAGGAAATCGAAGAGACAGCAGTTGCGATGCTTCCAGAGATTGCCGAATTGGCGTCGGACTATCTGGGCAACACCGTGGTTCAAAAACTTTTCGAGTTCTGTTCCGAATCAACCAAGGAACAGATGCTGGCGCCGATTGCTCCCCACCTCGCTGAAATTGGTATTCATAAGAACGGAACATGGGCCGCCCAGAAGATCATTGATGTCGCTAAGACACCAAATCAGATGGGGTTGATCGTTGATGCTCTCCGGCCATACACTGTACCTCTGTTCCTTGATCAGTATGGAAACTACGTACTGCAGTGCTGTCTACGCTTCGGTGCCCCGTTCAACGACTTCATCTTCGAGACTATGCTCAGTCGGATGTGGGAGATTTCCCAGGGCCGATTCGGTGCTCGGGCCATGCGGGCTTGTCTTGAGAGTCACCATGCCACAAAGGACCAGCAGCGTATGCTCGCTGCGGCCATCGCTCTTCACAGTGTGCAACTTGCAACGAATGCCAACGGTGCCCTTCTGCTCACTTGGTTCCTCGATACTTGCACGTTCCCTCACCGCCGCACTGTGCTTGCACCGAGGCTGGTTCCTCATCTCGTCCATCTCTGCACTCATAAGGTCGCTTATCTTACCGTCTTGAAGGTCATCAATCAGCGAAATGAGCCTGAGGCCCGTGAGATCGTGCTGAAGGCCCTGTTCTTCAGTCCGGGTGACGAGGTGTTGGAAAGAATTCTAAGTGACCAGACTTCGGGAGCGACTCTGATCTTCAAGGTTCTTACTACACCTTTCTTTGACGAGTCAATGCGTGCCGAGGTTGTCAAGAATGTTTCCAAGGTTCTTATCAAACTGAAGGCAACCCCCAGTCAAGGATATAAACGCCTGATGGATGAAGTTGGTCTGTCTTCGCGTGGAAATGCCCGGGACAACCACCATGGACGTGATCACGGTCCTAATGCGGACAAGCAACAACACCGTCCAACTCTTCGCCAGGCAGCCTCGAACTACGCTCCGCAGCCGCCTTTGGAGAGGCAATATAGCGCGCCATTCCCTACTATGCTTAACCAGAACATGGACGCTACCAGACCTATGCCTTCGGAACAGCAACCCGGTGCCGGAGCTTACGACCCTTATAGCATCAATGGAATGAACAACCTTGGCTCTGCCGGTGGTATCAACCCTCTTGGCGGGATCGGAGGGGTTAACGCACCCGGATTTGGCCAAGACCCCATGATGCCTTTGGCCCAGCAACAGCTACAGTATCAAGCCTATCTGGCGGCGCAAAGCCGTGGCCTTTCGCCGTCCGGGCTGTATCCAAGTCTCGGGAACTCCAACTTTGGGTTTGCGGCTGGCGCTCCTTCAGCAGACAACCTCCGGTCCTTGCAGACTCAGGCTGCTTCCTTGGCCGGGCCTCCCACCCAGCAAATCAACCCAGGCTCGATGTTGAATCAGGCGGCTTTCGCTCCTCAGCAATTCAGCCCCGTCATGAGCACTGCTCAAATGTATCAGTACCCTTCGCAGTTCTATGCCCAAGCACAGCCAGCTCAGGCGCAGTCTGCCGGGGGCCGGCGTGGACGTCCAAGCCACCCCCAGCACATGTGAAAGCCCGGGACTCGCCTGTGTGAACGAAGCTGATGTGGGGTTGCCTCCAGCATTGAGGATTCCCTAATAGCTTTAATCCGCCATTAACTTCAACCTTATGTATAAAGTTTCTCTCTTTTTTTTTTACTTGATCTTTTGTTTGCAGTTTCCGGGATACAGAGTAGTATGGCTATATGCATGAAATGACCTTTGTCACACCTAGACCGACGCTGGATCGTCTTGGAAATGGAGGAAGGACTGATATGAGAAAAAAGTGCTATTGTTTATTGTTTATCCGAAGCATCGTGGTGTTGCCCATGTCCATAAGCATTTAAGTGATTTCATAACCGCTTTGGGGAGATTGGCTCTAACTATCTCCTGTTCACTATAATCTACATTGGGTATCAAAACAGAGAGCGTCTTGCGATTTTCCAGTCTTTCATCGAGACCTCTTGTATTCAGATGTTGTATTTTGTACACGCGTGGTTGAGGAGCCTAATTGAGCTACAACGAAGATGAAGTCTAATTCGCATGTCAACAGCAAGCCATTTTTGGCTGGGCCGCCGCCCGGGTAATGCTTAGTACTAAGTAGTTCTTGTTGGGGAAGCGAAAATTAAAATTATCGCAGCGTGATTCAACCAACCAACTGCTCTGGTCTAGACTATACTATTCTAGCTGATGTGCTTACGAGTATGATAGCACCGTCACCATCAGCTATACTCTATCAAGATCCCCACGCCACCACCTTCTTGATTGATATTCCCGCATCAATCGCTCGCGCGCAGTCACTCTCCCCATTCCAATCATCAGCGCTCTTGCCCTCCGCAAGACCGCCTTCTGATCTTAAGAACGACAGGAATCGCACACTTCTCTCAACACCACCACTGAGGGTGCCATATCCGGCTCGTACAGAGCCGAAAACTGATGCAGCCCGGGCAAGAGTTCTTGAAAGGACCCCTCTTGCGGAGAGGCTTTTGCATTCCGAGATCCTCGAACCCCTTGTGACGGAGGGGTTATCCCAAATACGCAGGACGCTCGACTCGGGGTTCCAATGGTGTCTTCCGCGGGTTGAGATAGACCCCAGCGCACCGGACTTACCTCCCAATGGGGACATGGGTGACGAAGCTCCCCTCCCGAAGAAGAGGAAGGGGACGGCCGGGCGAAAACGCAGCAATAGTCACGGGAACGTGGACGCTGCAATGACGCAGATCGGCTCTGCTTCTGCTACCTCCAGTGCTGCGACATGTGCTTCCCTCAATCCCCCGTTGATAGTGTCTCCCGGCGTGAACCGCTTCAGCTGCATGTCAGAGCTCTCCAGCATCGTGGTCCGCAATACGTCGTTGGAATCAGCCACGGTGCACGCTACCTGTGCGGTGGATCTGGAGAGGACAGCGGACGATACACGATGCTGTCACAGGGGACCTCATCACCTATCATCACGCCCTGTTCCTCACTCTTTCTACATTCCGCCGCTCTCAAGCTTCCTTCAATGCAGAATCCCGATCTCAACGGACTCCGTGGCGAACGCAGAAACCCCCATCCCAGGCCTCCCTCACCACCGGAAGTTCAATCTCATTCTGCTTGACCCACCCTGGGCCAACCGCTCAGTCCGTCGCAGCGGTCATTACCACACTCAGACCTACCTCGACTGGGAGTTGCTCACCCAGCGCATTCGCAATGTCCTGTCCGTCCATCTAGTCCAGGACTCTCCCTCGCCCAACAAGGGGGAGAAGGAGGAGGCCGCTGAACAGTGGAGAGATGGCCGTCGCAGGAGCGCCATCGCAGCCATCTGGATCACGAACTCAGGGAAAGCCCGCAAGACGGCCTACGACGCGATGCAGGGGGCCGGGCTGACGGTCTGCGAAGAGTGGGTGTGGGTGAAGACGACGACGGAGGGTGAGCCCATCACGTCCGTGAGTGCGCTCTGGCGGAAGCCTTATGAGATCCTGGTGATTGGGAGGAGGAGGGCAGATCTTTCTGTCTCTGCCTCTCGATGCGACGACGGCCATCTCAAGTCCCATCCCGCAGCAAAAGCCGGCGAGGATCGCATTACGCGAAGAGTGATTGCGGCTGTGCCGGATGTTCATTCGCGAAAGCCAAACTTGCGCGAGGTCTTTGAGCAGGTGTTTTTTTCTGATCGCAGTCCTCGAGACAAGGCCGGGATGCGGTATACGGCCTTGGAGGTATTTGCTCGCAATCTCACGGCGGGATGGTGGGCGGTTGGGGATGAAGCTTTGAAGTTTAATGCGGAGGAATGGTGGGCTGAGAGTTGATTCGATGGTATGGCATGACATAGCTTAGATTGAAGGCTTAGTCTGTGCGTATATTATCGAGGGTTTGAGGATTTATGTCGGGCTCATTCTCCCAGTAGCCATTGCATTGCCATTGCCAATAACCCGATTGCCCAATGTATATGTGAAACAAAGGTATAAGGACCACCTTTACCTTACGTCCCTGCAACCTCGAAGACAAACAAGCTATATCCCCATTATCGACCCTAACTTTGCGGAATACAAGAGCAAGAAACAAAATACAACCACCCCCCCCCCTCTAAATCCATCCACCGGAATCAATCAAAACTCGGCCCCAAACTCACCAAACTAAACCTTAAATCCGGATTCCCGCCCCGGGCCTCCACCTGCAAGAAGCGCCTCACCCCCAACTCCAACGCCCTCTCACTCAAGGCATCCTCCCCGGGGCCCAACACCCCGCGCTCCAGGGGCCCCTTCCTCCGCCCATCCAACTCCCACAACCGTCCATCCGCCCCCTTAACAAACGCCACAAAGTGCAGATCCACGTTCTCCTCCGCCCGCGGGGCCTGCGTGTCGCCCAGCCGCGCCGCGTCCGCGTGCGCGCTCTCCAGCACCTTACTCTCGTACAGCAGATCCGCCCGGCGCCCGGGGTCCAGCGCCTCCGCTTCTTGCACGAGACCATCCAGATCCGATCCGGCGACGATCTGCCGCCGCGGCTCGCCGTTGGCGACGGCGTGCAGCAGGCCGATCAGCCCGCAGGCGTTGCGGATGGTCTGCTTGAACCACATCACGGGTTCGGCGGGGCCCGAGCCCGTGTAGGCGGGCAGGCCGCTGTCTTCGGTGATCCGGGCGGTTTCGTAGGTCGCGGAGACGGGGAAGACGAGGAGGAGGGCGTGCGAGGGCCGGGGCACGAAGGCCAGGAGGTCCGGTTCGTCGATCGAGTAGACGTCTGTGAAGGCTAGGGTGGGGGGTAGGCCGAGTTGGTGGATCAGGTGGGTCATTACTTCGGGGTTGTTTTCTAGAAACACTTCGTGGTTAGCTCGGGGGGTATAGGGTATTTTTGGGGTGGGTTGGTTGGAGTGTGTGTGTAAAACGTACCGAGGGGCACGAAGGCCTTGTTGGTGGATTCCACGTCCGGGTTGTCGGCCATTGTTGCGGGTGGTAGAGGGAGGAATAAACCGGCCTGGTTTGGTTGTTTCCAGATCTAAGGTAATTGCAGGTCTTGGTTTGGACGTGGAAATGGAGAGTTGCGTGGGTGGGAGAGCGTATGCAGAAGAGTAAGTGAAGATGGTTTGTTTGGTTGGTGAGGGGTTGACTTTCGGTGTTGCGGGGTTGGGAAAAGTCTCGGGGGCAAAGGGCGGGCAAAACGTCATCGTGCAAATACAAAACAAATCTTGCAGAAATCGTAGGACTAAGGTGACTGGAAGGAAAAAAAATTGTCATCATGTCATTTCTAGCTCATAACATCAAATATCTAGTGTCGATCTATATGATCCTCATCTCATGCGGCCAGCGGCTTTTCCCCTCTCTTCAATGGTCCGTAGACGTTCGTCCATAGCTCGCTGGCTTCTCCAAGGAAGTAAGTCAGACTTACATCCGCCATGCCTGCATCCTCGTCACCGGAGAGAGTCTCTAGCTGAGAGATGAGATTCTCCAATCCAAACGCCTTCCCCGTGGCCTGTGTAGCGCCCGCTTCCAGCATGACGTTGACGACGTGGACATGGAAATGGTAGTATGTTGGCTGGTCTGGCAAGTCAAGCGACTGGTGTTAGCAAAACACCGTCCAACCGGGAAAAAAAAAACTTATAGCGAAACAGTCTCTCTCACAGTGCACATAAAGCTTCAACTGATCCTGCTCCAGCTCCGGATACATCTTCACCGTCCCTTCGAGCAGCCGCTGCCGCAGATACTTCAACCACGGGATGTGTCTCTTCTTGAGATCGCGCAAGCTCCAGATATCCCTCCGCTGCACCAGGGCCAGCAAATGCAGCGATCCCATGGTCTTCCGGTCCCAGTTTAAGTCCGGCAACATCAGAAATCCATCATCATCAACATCATCATTATCATCATCAGCCGCCCCATTGTGGTGTCGTCTCCCCTCATCTCGCAGGATCACATCCTCCTGCTCCGTCCGGCCCTCGAGGATATTGAACACCCAGTTCAGCCGCCCTTCCTCGCGCTTGGCGCGCATGTACGGGCGGACATGGTCACGGTAGATCGCCGGCGTCTCGGTGACCATGCGGACCACCTGCTCCGAGTACTTCTTGATGTGGGAGTCCGTGCACGGCCAGATGAGGTTCAGCTTGAGGTCGGGAGGCTGCTGGCCGCCGGCGTCGGGGCCAGAGGACGCCAGGTACCACCGGTAGATGTCATTGTCGCCGAGGTTGGTGACGTGCGTGATCGCGGCGTGGAAGGCTTGGAGGACGGCAGGGGTCTTGGTTGCGAAGGCGGCGCGTTCGGCGATCAGGATGCCCTGTTGGCTGTCGATAGCGCCGAGGATGGCGATGCGGCGGCCGCTTTGGTCTGTAGTCATTAAAACCGTGTCAGTCCACAGTATAGAATCACGATACCATTTAGGTCATTTGATGGTGCGTTCTGAGAGAGAGGGGCGAGCTCCGCAGGTGAGGGGATTGTGGAGTACCGTACCTTGCTTGAGCAACCTGTCGACCTCAAACTTGGAGATCAGAGCCTCCGGGGCAGGACGGTCTGTAGTACTGGCCATTGTGGGAAATGGCTTGCAGGAATGACAAAATTGGGGTATGGTTGCAGAGGAGATCAATGTTAATGATTTTACCCCAGATATTCTTTGTTGGGCAGAATTGTGTTAGCGGTGAACCTTATCGATTGCTCAGGGATCGTGGGCGGAGATCCATTGACTATCGACCAGTGTACTCAGCCTCTTCTATTATGTTTGCAAACCTTGGTCGTATAGGGTTTTCATTGTGACATTTAGAGTTGTTTAACAAAAGTGCAAATATACTCGTGGATAGAAGACGAGTCCAGAGCGGAAAAGCCCCATGCAATCTATCTATATATTGCTCACCCGTGATGCTGGTGGGTGTGTACCTTTCATCCTCCCGATAACAAAATCGACATGGTAGACATAATCCTAGGTTACCCTCGTTCGTTTCTCGGTTGTATGTCACGGACTACATTGTCTACACTGATGCCCGCCGTCTATTGCGCCATTATGCCCGCCATGCTTTCGATTTGCGCGTCCGCAGAATGGTGATCGAGCCACGTCGCGAACATGTTCGGGTTGACCCTGGGCTCGGGGTGAAGAATGCGCTGTGAGAGGTGCTGGCGCCGCTGCGATGAGAGCTGAATCCGTTTGGCTCATTGTGGTGGGCGAAAACCTTTTGGTATTCGAGGGCGTCGCTCATGAAGACGGCTTCGGTTCATTGCTGGGCTGGCCGTGCATCTACAACAAGATCTTTAGTAGAAAACTGGCCAGAAATTGCATGCACACATACCGCTTCAGCCAATTTGATCCATTCCTCCACCCCCTTCACGAAGGCATCGTCCGCCGCGGGTACCAACTCATGCCCCCAAACCATATACTCGTTGAAGGTTCCCTGCTTCTCGAGAATCTTGACCGGCTCCTCCGGCTGAACTTCCTCAACATCGGCTTCGTTCTCATTGCGAGTAGGGGGCAATACACGGTCTGTGCTTGTTGCGATGACGCCTAAGATGTTATGAGTTGGGGGGTCAGGGAAGAATTTCCGCAAGAAGTTTTTGTTTCCCGCACCTTTATAGCCTTCTGGAATAGCAACCTGTCGACCCTTGAGCCTACGACCGCGGAAATATGCGATCTGTACGTCTTTTTCTGTTGAGGGTTCCCATCAATGAGCGAGCGAATTGCGAGTACGAAGAGCTGGCGTTGCGACTCTTACCTTTCTCGTCGGCTTGGGGTTCCCAATACCGATCCAATGTCTTCACGGGCCCATCGTAGTGGATTTTGCAGGGGAGGATGTTCGGAGTGAACCGATCCGTTGACGGTTGAGTTTCAGTCGCAGACGACTTTGGCGCTGCTTGGATGGCGAACATGCTTGCTTTGTGAGAAGAGATTGGCAGGTGTTGATATGGTTGCAGTGACTAAAGTTTGACAAGGTATAGAGAAGTCTCAATACCAACTTGAACAATGGTGGAGAATTATCTTTGAGTAGCAATGTTTGATTGTCCCTACTATCTTCTTCGATGATGGTTGTATGCTCGACCCCGGAGAAACGCGACGCGTTGCCCGCGTAAAGTGGGCGAACGGAGCGGAAGCGGAGTGTCTTTCCGTTGTCCACCCGAGTTCATTTATTTCGACTAACATAGTAGATCTTGCACCTTCATGCCGTATTATTTGGAGAAAGTAACGTATATTAGGTATAGTTTATTCATTTCTATATACTCAGAAAAGCCTTAGATGTTGAGTAGCTTTGTAAGTTAACCAAGCTGGGGTATATTTAAGACAGATATTTCTTGCCGACTCATCAGGATATTGTTGGAATCACCTCTTACGGTTCTTCTTCTTCTTTTTCTTCTTCTTCTTCTTCTCATCGTCACCCGGTTCCTTCTCGACTATCACACGCACCGGCCACTTCTTCAAGTGTTCTCGTTCGAATGTGTCCTTGTCCCGCCGGTACAGGAGCATCGTCGCCTTCGCATCCTCAACACTAGAGTGGGCACCATCTTGGATATTCAAACCCAAAAATTCGGAAGCCAGCATCTTCAGACGGGGGGAGCCTCCGCCAGCTACCTTTCGGTAGGGCTGGTGTTTGCTGGTATCTCTGATATCGCGCTTGGGGTGGCTCAGAAGCAGAGCATCCAAGTCGTTGCTCACCGCGTGTCCCACGAGTATGCGCCCACTGAGAATTTCCGTAACCTCTTTTTGAACCTGCTCGAGTGACCGCGCATTGGCCATGTGTTTCGGAAGTATACCGCTGACATGCGTTCGCCAGTCCGTGACCATCTCCTTGGGTCTGACATACGAGTCGTAAATCTGCTCGCCGTTGAAGTTGACGATACTGACACGCGCAAGGGCAGAGTCGTTATCGGGGTTGGGGCCGACGCCCACCATTTCGCAATCCATCGCAACGTATTTTCCTAGCTCAGCACTAGTCTACAGTAAGCAACCATATCTGAGGAAAGCCAAGACAGCAAATAAGATGGTAACTGACGTTGGTGAACGGCCTTCATTGACCTTGGAAGTTTTCGATTCCACGACCGCTGCGGCGGCGGAATTCCTCCGCGACGTTGGCTTTGAGCTATCTGATGCAGTGGCCTCTTGGCCTTCATCCTGGGCGGCGCTTTGCGACATGCTTTTCTTCTTGATGGTGGCTTTCTTCCGTTCGATCTTCGGTTTCCCGTCGGCTGCGTCTGTTCGGCGTTTCTTCACGGTAGCATTTTGCGTCTCGCGGTCCGAGATCTTGCGCTTGGTGGCGGAGGAGGAGGCGTTGCTTTGCTTTAACGTCCCCTGGAGTTTCTTCCAATTACTGGAGAGGTTTTTCAAGTCCATTCCAAAATCAGATCCAATCGCTATTGCATTGTGGTCTGGTCAGGATGGCAGAGGGGGGATCCGGGAGCAAAAAAAAAAGATTCAGTTGTTGCGGAGGCAGGCTAGGCTGGCCCGGCAACTTTCCTGGACCGGCTTTCCCTCCCGCACTAAATTTTCGGAACAGGATCCACATGTCAGTTCTCGATCGCTGTTGCAGGGGGCTTATCGATATTGCCCATATCATATCAGCCAGCCCACCAGGATTCCAAGAGTACGTATCTGCTCATTTGTTTACGAACTCTCTATGATCAAGTATGATAATGGCATATACAAATCTTTCGTGCAGCCTTGACCCATATTATGTGAAATTGCTTTTAAAATCCACCGCATGAAAACGCCAAAAAGGGAATCTATTTACAAGCCTGGAACCTTGAAGTCCTTGTGGGACCATTTCACCGTAACCTCCCTCTTGGGCTTCTTGACCTGTGTCACTGGTTTGCGAGCCTCCAGCTTGCCCTGAACAACCAAGGTCCGGAAACGGTCATCGAGCAAGTTGCCCTCGGGTTTGAGCAAACGCAACGAGTCTTGAAGCTCATCCGGTAGCACGACCTCCAATCGCTTCTCGGGAGCACTATTATCAGGTCAGTAAGCAAAAGGGAACGACAAAACGGGGAATGTGCCACATACCGTAGCTTTCCGAGAGGTCTGCGGCGCAGAACAGTATCATCACCTTCCTCTTCTGAAGAGCTGTCTTCCGACTGCTCGGCAAGCTCAAGTTCCTTTGCCTCGATTTCTTCGGGAGTGAGATTGGCCCGCGCATACTGCTCTTGTCTCTTCTTCATCTGAGCCTCCCACTTCGCTTGCCGCTCGGCCTCCTTGCGTCTCTTGATCCTGTTCCTTTCAGTCTTGGTCTTTCGTTGCGGACGCTTCTTGTTTAGCCACTCAGGCTTCTCGTATTCGCTCTCAAAGCCCTCCCAAGCACTTTCATCATCCGATCTTACCGCACCATCGTCGTCTTTGGCCTCTGCGATCATCCGTTGTCTTTCTTGTTCCTTGCGCTCTTCCTCCAAGCGCTTCTTCTCATCCTCGACTGCCTTCTGGCCGTGCTCTTGTAGTAGCTTGTCCCAATCTTCAAATGTGGGGTTGTAACTCGTGCCGGCAGTTGGGGCGCGAACTGCAGGGATCGGCTTGCCGTTCGCAGCGAGCGAGATAGGAGCGTGCTTCAAGGTAACGGGCTCGACTTTCTGCTTGGGCTTCTCCAGGAAATCGAACTTGGGGTCGTCATAGCGAGTGGTGTCCTCCGCATCGGCCCAGGGGTCGTACAAGTCGGTTTCGGTCTTGTTGGTGGGTTTGCCTTCCTTGGCCACCTGCTTCAAGCGCAGCCAATCCTTCCGGGTAACCCAATCGCTCTTCTGTCTCTTGTTCTTCGGTTCGAGAACTCCGTCAGTGACCTTCGAGTTCGATCGCGTGCGTGTGTCCACCGCAGGAATCGCAGAGCGCTGTGCGATAATCTCCTCCGACTTCAGAAGTTTGCGCTTCTTCTGAATTGCCTTGCGGACCTCTGCTGAACCAGTGGTATCGATAACGAACAGCTCGTCCGAGGGCTTCTCCGCAATAACACCTCTAGATGTAAATGGCACGTTAGCGAGACTCGAAATTTAAATAAGAAGGAAAACCTGATAAGATTCTCGTACCCTTTAATCTCTTCATCTTTCAAGAGGCGGAGGCCTTCTTGAACCTCTGTGATATCAACATTCTTGCGCCAAGCCTTCTTGCCCTTGCGGGATGGCTGGCTGAATTGCCTGGGGGCCTCAGTGGAAGCAGACATCTTGTGTGAAATCTGCTATGGAGATATGACTTGTGAGATCTTATCTTTTTTTGGCGGCATCCTAAATTTTGATTTTCGGACCAAAAATCTGGACCCGCTTACATAAGATCCCGCGGGGAGGAGCAACGCTAGTGTAGTTGTCGCGCGCTAAGGCTCTGCGCGGCTATCGCGGGCAAGTGACGAACGCCGCCGCCTCAGGACTTGATCTCTCGCTTTGCACCGCGTTGATTGCTCGTCGGCATTCTCCATTGTGGACATCAGTGTTCCACTTGTCATTCCCTCTGCGCATTATTTTGAGACCATTTCCAGATTATCCCTGATATTTATCTCCCTTGGCTCGCTCCTGTGAGCCGCCAGACTCTTAACAGCCATGCCCGTCGTCAAAGGAGGTGTCTGGTGAGAGCCATTGCTACATTACTTCATGTCGCCGAACTCCCAGCTAACATGCTATCCAGGACCAACATTGAGGATGAGGTGCTTCGTGCGGCGGTAGGCTTTCCCTTTTTCTCCGATCGATAGACGTGGTGCTCTGGAGCTCTAAGCAATGCTAATATACCGCTTTTTTTCAGGTGTCCAAGTATGGTATGAACCAGTGGGCTCGCGTATCCTCTCTCTTAGCACGGAAGACACCCAAGCAATGCAAGGCGCGGTGGGTGGAATGGCTGGATCCTGGTATCCGCAAAGTCGAATGGTCGAGGGAGGAGGATGAGAAGCTGTTGCACCTGGCCAAGTTGATGCCCACACAATGGCGTACAATTGCGCCCATTGTAGGGCGAACGGCAACACAATGCTTGGAGCGCTACCAGAAGCTGTTGGATGAGGCCGAAGCTCGGGAGAATGATGAGCTGGGCCTGGGAGGTCCTTCCGGGGCAGAGGCTGCTGCCCCCAGTGCGGACGACGTCCGCCGACTACGGTATGATGTTGTCACCTTCTCCAAATTAATTTATCCCGCAGAACAAGGTGCTGACTTTTGTTTAGCCCTGGTGAACTGGATCCCGACCCGGAATCGAAACCCGCTCGTCCCGATACGATCGACCTTGATGAAGATGAGAAGGAGATGCTGAGTGAAGCGCGTGCCCGTCTAGCAAACACACAGGGAAAGAAGGCCAAGCGGAAGGCCAGAGAACGACAATTGGAAGAGTCGCGACGACTGGCGGTCCTTCAGAAACGACGTGAACTCAAAAATGCTGGCATTAATATCAAGGTCGTTACTCGCAAGAAGGGCGAAATGGACTACAACGCCGACATCCCCTTCGAGAAGCCTGCGGCACCTGGCTTCTACGATACCACAGATGAACAAGGTCGAAACGAGAGACAACGGGAGATGTTCGATCCTCGCAAGCAACAACTCGCGAATAAACGGAAGGGTGATCAGGACGAAGACGCGGAACGGAAGAAACGGAAGAACGACAAGAATAGCAACTCCGCCGCATTCGCAGCTGCCGCTCGCGCTGGCCAGATGCAGAAAATCCGGGAGGCCGAGCAAAGCAGCAAGCGGAGGGCGCTTGTGCTTCCGAGCCCCCAGGTCAGCGAGGGCGAGATGGAAGACATCATCAAGATGGGCATGGCGGGTGATAGGGCCAGTAAGATGGCAGGTGATGAGGAGGGAGCTCGAGGCTTACTCGGTAACTACAATGCGATTGTTGGTGGGACACCTATCAGGACACCCAGAGCACCCCCGCAGGAGGATCACATCGCAAACGAAATTCGAAACATCAAGGCTCTCACCGAAACTCAATCGTCTCTGTTAGGTGGAGAGAATACTCCCCTTCACGAGGGCGGGGCTACTACTGGATTCGATGGGATTGCCCCTCGCCGCCAGGAAATCGTTACTCCCAACCCTATGGCCACCCCATTCCGACAAACCAACGGCGTCGGCGCTACACCTATGCGCGGCGGTATCGGACCCGGCGCTACTCCGCTGCGGACACCTCGAGATCATTTTGCGCTCAATCAGGCAGAGGCCGGGCAGCTTATCGGCAGCACCCCCCGTGATATCAAGATGTACGAGAAGAATGCACGTCAGACTATTCGCGGCAAGCTGGCTGCTCTTCCTAAACCCAAAGAGACGGAGTGGGAGCTTGAGGAACTTCCCACGGAGTCCAATGAGCCCTCGGTAGCCGCGGAGGAGACCGAAGAAGATGCGGCTGAACGTGATAGGAGAGAAAGAGAAGCGCGAGAACGCGCCGCCCAGGCCGAACGCAAACGTCAGACACAAGTATATCAGCGCGCCCTACCCCGACCAAGCGTTCTCGATATCGATGCGATGCTGGATCGGGTATCACATATCACGGAGCCCATCTCTGCATTAATTGCGAAGGAAGCCGCCCTCTTGATTGCCCACGATGCCCGCAAGTTCCCTGTTCCTGGTGCTAAAGTGGAGGGCAAGGCACGAAAACTAGAGCGACTTGACGACAGTTTGATCGAGCAGGCCCGTGCAGTGGTTGCGGCGGAAGCCTCGACATCCGGAAAGCTCGAGAAATGGCAAGAGAACTTTGATAAGCAGTGGTCAAACACGCATTCAGATGTTCTCCCTGGCCTTGCCAATTATACCGACGAGGAGGAAGACGTCTTCCAACAAGAGCAGCGCATGATCAGCGCTTTCGATAACGAACAAGCTTCATTGCTGGCCACAGCTGAGCGAGGAAACAAGCTGGAGAAGAAGCTTGCGTTACACTATGGTGGCTATCAGAACCGGGCGAAAACGCTTCGCACGAAGATCGTCGAAGCCAGCGATGCACTTCAAAGATCGAAGGATGAACTAGATGCTTTCCGGACTCTCCAGATCTCAGAAGAGTCGGCGCTCTCGCGAAGGCTAGAGAAGCTTCGAGACGATGTTGCTTTCGTCATGAGGAGAGAGCGTGAAGCGCAGGACCTCTACAAGAGCAGGAAGGATGAGCTGGATGAGCTGGTGACAGGCACGGGGGGCATGGTGAATGGCTGGCATTGAGGCCCCAACAAGGATACCTAGATTGACGTTTGACCTGGTGATTTGAATTTAATCATGCCCTACATGTACGATTTGTATAGTACTTCCTCAAGTCTGGCCCGGAATGCGCGGAGCGATGTGACCGGGCACACCATGGAATTGGTTACAGAAGTCGGCTTACCGCACAAATATGCAAAAGAAAAATTGCTTATGTGCAGGCAATAGTTATTTTGCTCTAGGTGCTTCGCATATTCACACGTGTAAGAGATGTAGCATCCCATAGATTGACGGCGAACCGAAGCAACGTACCGAAGCAGACAAGCTGGGGATGAACCAAAAGCGGATGGCAAAAGTTCAAAGGCGGTCTCTTCCGGCGCATCGAAACGGAGATTCCTCCCATCCCCTCCTATCAAGCCCCTTCGCGTTTTCATCACGAAACTCTTGCCCTTGAGCCCTATCATCTAAGAAATTGCCTTGTATTGAAAGAATAAATCGTCCCTCGAGCACTATGGGCGGCAGGGACGAAACCGGCACACCGGACCCTGTTGAGAAAGGGTTCGCCACCCTCAGTACCATCCGGTAAGCGATAGAATAATTTTTTGGATGCTTGTTTCGAGGTTTTAACCTCGCTTTCCTCGGTCGGAAATACTGATCAGAATGATAGGATCGGTGTGAAAGCTATGGTACAAAAAGTCAGTTGTCGCAATTTCCCTGCGCTTCACTTTTTCGCGCGGCCCATCATCACGTGATATGATAATGGGCTGTATACTCCGAGCCTTGGCCGGCAATGTATAGCTGACTTGCTTCCCCGTCTAGGATGGAGAGTTACGGAAAGCGGAAATCTTGTCTATAAAGCAGCGAAAAGACGGCCCTTCCTTTTAGTATGCTCAAGCTACCCCTCCGCTGCACTTTTGCATCTTGAGTCTCGTGCTGATGACAGCTGCGCAGTGTCCATTATGTTGATTTCAACAAGCGTCTTGATGGTGAGTGTTCTGAGAACTTAGGGTGGACTCACCTTAAAGGCCTGACATGACAACAGAGTGGATTGCCTCATCACGCATCGATCTGTCGCATGAAGTCGAATGGCCCCAGCCAGAGAAACCGGAGAAGAAGAAAGCCGGCCCCGGCAACAAAGCGCCCAGCAAGAACACGCAGAAACGCGCCAGAGCCGAGAGCCGCGATGTCTCAGCCACCCCGGATCTCCTCACGGGGAAGAACGCCAACGTCGGCAAAGCCCAGCGTCCCTCCAAGGCGGGTGGGAAGGAGAACCGCGGCGATGAGACGCCGGCCAACCTCTCCATCGGCGGCGGCTCCGAGGCCGTCTCTGCGGACGGGACCCCCAAGCCGGAATCCGACGACGTGGACATGGTCGATGTCAGTTTCTCCAAAGACGTCAAGGAAGAAGAGAAAGCGCTGGGCCTCATGTCCCGCGAAGAGGAGATCGAGCGGCTGCGGACCAGCGGCAGTATGACGCAGAACCCGACGGAGATCCACCGCGTGCGGAACTTGACGCGACTGCAGATGGGCAAGTACGATGTCGAGCCGTGGTATTTCTCGCCCTACCCGGCCTCGTTCTCGGACGCGGACATTGTGTACATCGATGAGTTCTGCCTGGGGTACTTCGACAACAAGCGGTCGTTCGAACGCCACCGCTCCAAGTGCACGCTGGTGCACCCGCCCGGCAACGAGATCTACCGGGACGACTACATCTCCTTCTTCGAGGTCGACGGGCGCCGGCAGCGCACCTGGTGCCGGAATCTCTGTCTGCTCAGCAAGCTGTTCCTGGACCACAAGACGCTCTACTACGACGTCGACCCCTTCCTGTTCTACTGCATGTGCAGCCGCGACGAGACCGGCTGCCACCTGGTCGGCTACTTCTCGAAGGAGAAGGATTCCGCCGAGGGCTACAACCTGGCCTGTATCCTGACGCTGCCCCAGTACCAGCGTCGAGGCTACGGTCGTCTCCTGATCTCGTTCAGCTACGAGTTGAGCAAGCGAGAGGGCAAACTGGGCTCGCCCGAGAAGCCCCTCAGTGATCTGGGTCTGCTGGGCTACCGACAATACTGGCGAGAGACGCTCGTGGAGATCCTCATGGAGTCTGGACGGGAGAACATCAGCGAACACGACCTATCCTTGCAGACCTCCATGACCGAGAAAGATGTCCATGAAACACTGGTTGTGTTCAACATGCTTAGATATCATGTACGTTTTCTGCCCCCTTCCTTCCCCTCACCCCTCCTCTCGCTCTCATATCAGCAAGCCCGCCCACCTTCCGAAACCAACAACATACCCACTAACACAACCCCTGAACTACAGAAAGGCAACTGGGTCATAGTCCTCACCGACCAAGTGGTCGAAGAGCACAAAAGGCGTCTCGAGAAGGAAAAGCTCAAGGGGGCTCGCAAGATCGATCCCGCCCGCCTGCAATGGAAGCCGCCAGTCTTCACTGCCTCATCGCGCACGTGGAACTGGTAAGGCGGACGTGGTGCTGTGTGGCCTTGCCATAAGGTTTGCCTATGGTCAATGGTCTAAACAAGACTTTTCTAGCTCGCCAAGTAAAGCGAGGATTGATATTCCTCTTCGCCTCCCTTCTTCATTTATGAATTTTGTTCTCTCGGAGTTCGGTGCTGCCTCTTAGAGATGATTTGCCTTTGTTTCTGTCCGGGGTGTTTGGTGATCTTATGGTGTTGAAGAGGGAACCGGGGTGTTTTTTGTTACTCTCTAGTTGAGCCTTTTTTTTTTTCTTGGACGGTGTAATTTTACGATCTTCTAGTCTATGGAGCAAGGAACAGGTGATGTTTCGCTGGATGGTGAGTGTTTTCCTAGGTGTTCGAAAAGGTTTAATATATGTGGAGGAGGAGGAGGAGGAGGAGTAGTAGTAGTAGTAGTAGTAATAGCTTATTTGTTTACACAGCCAAGATATATGCAATTAAAATTGCAAATAGTATTGGATGATGACCACAGTATATGTCTCTTCTACAGTACAGGGCATCTACGGTCCAGAAAGCTCGTCCTCACCTCTCCTATTTTATAATTTTGATATACAGTCCCGTCGGACTCACCACCGTAAAATGTTTAGTAAAGTACTAATGATACCCCCCCACAAAACTCTCCTTCTAAACTCTCTACTCCCAGATAAACAACCAACCCTCTACGTCCCAAGGACCACGAATAGAACATTCTGTTAGGTATTGAGAATGGGGGCACACTTTCGGAGCGAGTGCGCGCGCGCACACAAAAGCTAATTACACGCTTTCAGAAACGGGGTACAAAAGAACAAAAAAGGGCCCGCAGGTGCACTCTCCCTCTCTCTCCCGGCTTTCCTCTTTTTCTTTTTTCCTTTGCGTGCACGTGCAATAGCCAACCCAACTGCCTATTGCACTCAACGAGCTTGGGAAGACCATGTCATGGTAGAACAACACGTAAGACAAGGAACCTTTTCCATACAAGCAAGTCGTTTGAAGTGAGTTTCCAGGCTGGGAGAAAAGAGTATGAGTGGGAGGGAGAAGAGTGGAGGGCAGAATATGGGTTGAGTGTTAACATAGGGATGATGAGGGAGATAATCGGTGAGTTTGTTTGCGGACTCGACCCAGAAACGATGAATGAGGTCGAGGGGTGGGAGATGACACAGGACCAAGAGATGCGGAGGAGGTTGGAGATGAGAGAGAAAGAGGGATGAAGAAATGGACATCCATGATTCATGCCAAATGGAATAATGGCAAGGGAGTGAGTGGTAGCAACCGCCGACGCATCTTGCCTTGAAAAGAAGCCGGGATCCCATCCCGCGCTCGAAGATCAGTATGTTACTCTGAAATAGGTACTAACAAGGTATAGCGCCAGGGAATATTGTACGGGCAAAAGAAAAGGAAGATTAAAGGAGTACTAAGAATTCAGACCGAACCCAGACCGATCAACAAATCCCCCGCAGGCGTAGCTCATCAATACCGAAATGAACGCTCAATGAACATCTGGCAACCAGCAAAAGCGAGCGAATTTTTTTTTTCCAAAAGAACCAGGTTACTGAGACCCACTGAGTGTGCGAGGGCCCCAGGACGCATTTCGAGATTGACGTCGTGGAGAACTGCCGCCATTCGTCTGCTGAGCAGAGGTGGGCTTTTTGGAGACTGATCCTCCGGAGGCCTCACGTGGCTTCGTATTCTTACGAGGTTTGTAAGTCGTCGAATTGCGCGGCCGGGGGTTGGGCGTTCCCATTTTCTTTGGAAGGGAGATAGTCTTCGCAAGAATAGCGCCCGGAAGCCGGATCGTAGCGCGAATAAATCCGGAGGAGTCTTTGTCATGGAAACCAACTGAGAACGGCTCAATGCTATGAATTTGCATCGACTTCAAGTTCTTGGCTCGTAGCTTCGACTGCGTGGGTGGTAAGGCAGCTTGCCATGCTGCCGGAGGAGCGTGGGTTGGCACTCGCACAACTGGCAGAGACCCCACTTCGCGATCTTCGAACATTTCCTCGGCTTCCTCTACTTGCTTTGCAGTTATCTCCCCGTCGCCGATTGTGAGCTCAACGTTAAAGGGCAGAGAAACCGAGACAGCAGCAATATGGAGTTGAACATCGAGAGGCTCCTTCGTCGCTGATGTGACTGCCAGAGCATTCCTCTTCTCCGGCACGGTCTTCTTGCCGAACAGAGTATTAATCTTTTCCTGCCAGGAAGTCGCTGTCGAACCATGTTGCGGGCCGGTGCGAGGGGGTGCAGCAACCATTGAGGCGAAAGTTGGCGGCGGTGGCGGGGGTGCGACGATCTTCGGGGGGAGCTTGACTATAGGCTTAGGTGCTGGGAGATGGACCAAGGGTCTGTTGCAATCACCTGTGTACACCGGATGGCTGGACATTTCTTCAGGCGGAGGTGGGGAAGGGCTTCGATAGTACTCGGCTTCATCAGCCATTGGCTTTCGAGGAGTCTCTGTAGCCTGTGGGAAGAAGCGTGAACTACGCAATGGAACACTACCAAGAGGGCGTGCGTGCGTATCTGCAAATGGAAGATTGCCAACGGGGTGATCAAGCCCCGGAAGAGGGTTCGCAAGGGGAGCGTTATTCTCGTTCGACCTCGCAATCCCAACCACCTGTCTCTGTCCAGCCTGGTCCCCGGTGCGGACTTGACGCCAGGTTTCGTTGAATGTGACCTGAAGCGACGAAGGCCCTTGTGGCATGGCATTCATTTCGTTGAGGATCTTAT